GATTGATTTACTTCTGCGTATTTTTGTGCTCCTGTTTCGAATTTCGTCTGCTGCCCGCTTTCGTCACTTGCTTTTCAGGTTTACCTAACCAGCCTTGCATTCGAATGAAATCCTAGAAATCCCACTCGTCAGTGTGCACCATGCCATCAAACCTCAAGACGAACCCATACACCCAAGGTCATGACGTACTGCCTGCCCAACTTCAAGAATATTGGAAGATTCAAACAATAACCGAATAATTCCTAATTTCTAACTGAGTCCGCTTCCGTATGCTGAACAATTGTTCCGCAAAGCACTAACGTTCTTTCTCTAGACACACCTCTTATATGCCATGAATAACGGTATCTAATATGTAGCTTAACATTGTACATAATGGTCGTTTCTCATCACCAGAATGATGAAACCTGTAAACTGGTTTTTATTCATGTAACCTATGTTGTATGAAATATATATATATATATATATATATATATATATATATTCACCTTGGGCTATCGCTGGATGGTCTACAAGATCATCCATCCGGTAAACCACGCAAACGAATTAGCCTTGTCTACAACACAGTAGTCATCACGAGGAAATCCCATTAGAATAGCACATCGAAGAGCCAACAATACGTTCAGGCCCAACTTTTTCTCATTGAGAGCGTGCGGTTTATGGAATGCCCTACAACGGGATATTGCATAGCTCCCTCAGTAGACTCACCCAAAAGACGGTTAGACAATTGCATCACCTCGTATGGTTTATCACGGAAGTACTTAGAGAGTCACCAACCTCGCCAGCTCACGATCACTCACCCTTCTACCCGCCACTCACCGTCTCTCTTCTTAATACATATACATTGTCTACTAATTCTTCTCTAGAAACTAGAAACTACTATCTACTTTTACCTTTTGGGTGATTCCCACATATTTTCTTTTTCTCATCATCTTACTATCTCCCTTCGGGCACCTAGACAAATGGGAGTCACGACAGACCCCTTATCTCCCCAGCAACCTATAGATCCCCAACCATTTTGGAAATTGCATTTTACTAACCCTCAAACCATCCACGGCGTCGAAGCTAAACGCAAGAAAGCAGAAGATATTCCTTTTTTCACTCCAGGGGTGAACCGGACAACTTGAACGAAGCCCTGAGATCTAGACGCGAGAGATCAAAAACTATCACTTTTCCACGCTCGCACCATCAACATTGGATATTGGAATGCTGTTGGATGTTGAATGTCAGGGTGAGCCGGGACTTTCGAGGTTAGAGGACTTGGGGTTCTTTTCATCATCCAAAAGGTCTAGTATTCAGGGCTGCACTCTTCCATAACTTTTCCTCGATTGTTCCTCCTTGTAAAGTGCTCGTCCACCGACTTATTTTATAGCCATTTTGACTGATTCGTAAAACTTTCGAGTTCTTACTGGCGGGCTTCTAACTGTGGTTAGAATACAATAGTTTCCGATTTTTCTCAGCAAAAACGTGAGAGATTCTCGGTGTTTCATTCGTATGTGGGTTGGTTGCCTGATGGCTAGTAATCTGCCTATCAACTTCATATTATTAGTACTCGTTCTCTGGTATAGTGATCACAGTGAAGTGTGATCATTAAGATATATAGACTTCAAACTTGAGTACGAAAATACAGCCAACGCATTATTGGTACTGGACTCTGGGAGTTATTCGACAGAATGTCTTCATCCTGAACTTCTAATACTGTTAAGAAGTTGCTCTTATAGGTAAAGCAATGAGAAAATTATTAATTGGAGCTTTAGAACATAAGGCGTAAGGGTTGCATCAACCAACATCAATAGTGGAAGTACAGAAAACTCGTAGTTTATGAGCTCTTGCTTATATGCCTTGAGGCTTGGTTATTTTTGTCCAGTTATACTGCTTCGGTGTTCGCAAAAGTCTTTACGATTTATCTACTTATAGCTGTTGAGGCAGTGATTGTCTTTTTGAGAGTTTTCCTTTGAGGACTTTTAGTTTGTTTGAGGGGGTGACGGAGCTGCTAACAAGGTCAATCAACCTCCCATTGCTTTGGTGAAGGAGTTCCTCATGAGCCATGGTGTACGGAAATCGAAATTAGGTGTCAGGATTCAGGCCTTGGATGTACGTCGTAGTTTTTTCACAAGATATAGGAATTAAAAAGTGATTAATGAAACGGAAGACCAGTCAGGAGGTATATAGCTGTTTTAGCACAAGTTACTATCTAGTGCTATTGATGAGTTCCAAGCACCATCGTTTTGTGTGTTGTTAGTCAATGAGACTAGCCTTGACTGGCTGGTGTGGTTTGGACATACCAAATCCTTGTCTGTTTCAATACACGATCTTAGCCGAAGAAAAAGAAGGTTGGAAAAGGGTGGCCAGACCAAGATGTAGCAGCACTCCACGGAAACGTTTCTAGTGTGTGTTGAAGAGATGTCTGGGGTTCTCGAGTTGATAGGAGACAGTGGTTGGAAACTTGGTGATGTAGCTCGACATCAACCATAATAGCACGGATGTATAATCTGTACTATTATTGTGAAGATCAATCATTTTTACTAGCCTAACATTTGCTTAATCGGTAAAAAGTGTAGAATGATGATGGGCAACATCATTTTTACAGTCTAACTGAGTGCTTGTTTTTGTATATTCTAAGATGAATTTCAAACTGAACTAAGTGGAGCAGGTTTACTTACGGAGTCGCTTATAAATGGCTTAAAACCGGCCCTTGAATCGATGCACTTGTGTGCGAGGTTCTACCTTGATTTTGTCTGTGTTAGTCTTTCGGCGACATCGTTTCCGTGTGATACTTGTTCATTTTTAGTTATTTTTCACCTGTGATTGACGTGTTCACATCGCTTTTGATGTGTTTTTTTTGAATCTGTATTCGTATACGAAAGTGTAGCGGGGGGATATAATTTGATTTAGGTTCCATATACAACTAAGAACATTAGGCAGTTTAGTAACTGTACGAGGTTTCGTGCACTCGGTTACATCTCTGTGAGCGGGATAGTAATCCCACTCATTTGGCTGGGTTTGAGTCACTAGTCTACCATTTGGAAGTTGATTCTCAAGCGCTATGAAGTTGGAAATCAAATCAACCACAAATTTTGAAATTATACAGTGACGGAAGAAACAAATGATTGTAAAACCTGGCGCCGTAGTTTATTTCTACTTAAGCTCGTTTTTCGTCGCTGCATGCAGAAAAAGAGTAGATAGGAAAAGAATAACAATAAAGTAGAGTGTTTAAAACAAAGTTAGTGAACATGTTCAAGACTTTGAAGATGACAAGAAATATGTGCACGTGTGCTATCTTAACTTATTCTGGGTCGTATCTCTAGTGGTCAAACCATCACCTCGAAAACCTCAGCCAGTTACTCTGCGTCTTATATGACTCAGACAAATAGTTGCGGGCTTCGTGGACCAATGTTGTCTTGGTTATAGTTCACTGTTTCTCAACTTAATCCTACTTTAGTTAACATTATCTTTCTAAGTTAGCAGTAACTCTGGATATACACTTAAGTTAGTTTCTGTATTAACTGTCTATAAAAGATTTGCGTATTGTGGGGAGAATTAATTCATTCTTAGAAAATGTGTAGGTATTCCTTACAAGTATATTTTTAATAAACTATTCACTTTATTTTACAACCTCATCGATCGACGTTCCATCCTTATCTAGTACTCCGTGCTAAACACATTACTCACGATACAATATTTTGATGCGATTAGTTTTTTAGACGTTTAAACTGATTTTCAAACCAGTTTTTTATACAGCTCTTTGTTCGACTTACGTGTTATGAAAATCGAGAAATATTGGAATGCACCCATCAAACTTGCGCATTTCATGCATTAGACAGTGAGATATACACATGGGGTGATAGTTAACGTTACAAGTTGACGGCCTGAACATCTGTAGGTGGAGTGGAGTTTGAACCCAGTAATCCACTAGTGCCAGAACTAATGAGTCACATCTCCACCATATTTTAATGCAGCCATCCGACAAAAGTATACATATTATCCCAAAGTTGAGCGCTGCATTAGTGGATTGAGAGAGTAGGAGTGATTATCTTGTGGCACTTTCATCTTTGATTAGAACATATCTCTTATGTTACTCCGGAATTTGTTGTACATAACGCTATTCATTCTTTTTAGATTTGCATGATGGAAGTGAAGACAGGCACGGAATAGCATCTTGAAGTTAACTATAGTTGTATCAGGTCACTATTACTGAGCCATCACTACAGCTTAGGGGGAATCTTAAAAGTCGTACGGGTGGTTTAAAACTGGTGAATACAGCCTAAAATTGAAATCACTAGCGATCATATGGTGATTTTCTATTGTCTCTTGTATAAGTCGTAGAGTAAGAAAAAAGCGAAGATGCGAATTTAGTTATTTTCCTTATCTATTTTTCCTTTTAGCTCATAATATTTGATATTATGTGGAACATATTCTAGCACCTGTTTTACTATTATTTTGCATTTGGAGAAAACCGGTTACTTTAAAACTAATTCGTATCATGGGATACCTTATGTCAACTGGGAAACCGCTGGAATTCTTGAAAACGAGAAGATTGCTTCATCTCACCGTTGGACTTTTAAGTAGTACCGTTTTGACTCTGCGGAGCAAAACCTAGAAACTTCACGTTTCCATATATGTGGAGCAGCTAAAGTTGAAGTATCCGGACCACTGTTTCAGTTGGTTGGCGCGTTAGCGACATGCATGCCTCTAGATGTGAAGGTTTTGAGTTCGATCTGATATGAGGTTCATGATGTATATTACTGAGTCACAAACTAGGAAGGAGCGGCTTTTTAGTAATACTCCTTTACTTTAGGTGACTCTGCCTAGTATGGTTTAGTTCACAATAAATGCTCAGCAGACTAAACTCCCCTATTTTCACTCAACACCTCATTTAAAATGATGACAGATAATAGTTTATTACTGTTTTGGTAGTATATGCGAACAAGCTACTTAAACGTCACAGACTAATCTCTGATGTGCTTAAGGACTGTTATGTTTATGATCAATAATATTTTGGTTTTCAGATGACAGAAAGTCATTTGCCACTCGATAAGAAAATCATCTACATCACTCCTGAGGAACTGTCACAACTTCCATCAGATGGACCTCTTTATGTGCTCTCAACTGGAGATAACACAAAACCTAGTCTTCCAAGAAGTTCATCACAACCTTCTGTGTATAGTCAGAACATATCCTCCACAGCATGCGTGTGCACGAGTTTGACGTGTAGTCTCACTACGACACTTTCAGTTTGCAATCCAAGTTATTTCAACAATGTCTCATATCAGGTGCCCTTCAGCACCAATGTTATTCCATATCCTCCTCCTATGGTTTCAGCAAGTGCGATTCCTCCGTATGGACTGTATCCTTTTCAACCACCACCGTACCTGGGTACTCACCCAGGAAACTGGTTGACATCAGGTTTCCAAAACTCTTCTTTATATAACCCAGGTGGTAACTTATTCCCAGTACCTACTCAGTATATCCAACCTTACAATCTATTACCCAATTTCCAACCAAACGTCCTATCAAACGCATTCATCCGGACATTTAATCCTTATGAACCACCTCCATCTTTTAGTTTACCTCAACCTACTTCAAAACCAAGTAACACCGTTCTGCCACATAATACTACTACTCCTGTACCTAATACTAGTGGTGTGACATGTATAACTAACCCTTCAAATGCCAACACCACTCATCGTCGTTCATTCTGCCGGTCAAATTGTGATAATGGGTAAGTATAGTAGCCCTATTTTTGAATCATTACAGTATCACTTAGCAGCTGATTGTTCACGTAGTTACGTAACTTTGGAATCTCGCTAAGGTATATATCACAGGTGTTCAAGTACATGCAGTATTATTTATGTGCGGAGGAATTTCCGCTGTTTACCATTGATACAGACAGTGATAACTAAAGTTTCTCTGTTACCTTTTTGATATCTCTCCTTCGTTGCCGATATCATGACTTACATACTCTTGTGTTCCCTCTCGATGTTTTTATAGGGTACGGTAATTTGACCAGTTTTGATAGTTTTTCTCTGTTTGGCAGTTTAACGCATTTCTAAAGATACCGCTCTGTTCATAGACGCTGGGACAACAGAATAGTATCACTAACTCTAACACATAATACTCTCTTTCCCAGTAGCCATGTGCATGTTCATGCACTAGGCAGTGAGCCACACCTGTTGTGTGACGACTAATAATGCTGCCTGACAGACAAAACGAGGTTTGAGTTGTACCTCTTTAGTTCAAAGCAGACTGCCACAATTTGACTGCATGATATGAAAAATGCACAGTTGTTAAGCTGCACTTCTTAATGTCGCTGTCAAGAAGTCTGAAGAACTTTGGAAATGTATTAAAATGAGTTAATTCACGCCAGGCAGTGAAGGATTACTTCACTTGTCATTCGAGATTTAGGAATTGGATATTTTTTTGTCACCCATGTAGTTATAATATGGCGAGTGTAGTCATTTTATTTTTTCTCTTCACTGTCTGCTCCTTTTGCTGCTTCCTTGTCGCATTCTTAACTTTAACACCACATTCGTTTATGATTTTTTCCTAATCAGATCTTCAGAGACGTATATCTCGAAAACCGATTCAACATCAATAAAGCAATTGAATCCTTTGCGGTATACCAGATTGATTTATGCTCCAGAACCTGATTTCTTCACATTCGATAGTACTGTAAGTGAGCTTAATATTTTCTCAAGTGTAACGTATTCACTGAACTAATTGATATGATTTTCGTGTGTATTGAATTTCTCAGGTAGTTGACAGAAAACTATGACCTAACGCTTCATATGTGTTAGAATTTTTTGTTGAAGGGTTTTGTCGCCAATCATGGGAAAACTAAGTTAATTGACGCATATCAGTGTTATTATTTTTCATGATTAGTTGGAGGTGGAATGTGGGGTTTAATTGTGTGATCTACAGTGAAAGCTCAGTTTTGGCTCGGTATTTTAAATATCTGACTTTCATCCATTGAGTTGCAGAGATGCAACTTCTACTCCATCTACATAAGTGGTAAAATAGTATAGTAATAATCGCGTTATATCACCAGTCGTATTCTAGTTATCCATATTAAATCATCGATACAATTCTAGACAAGCACCCCATTAAGTTGTACAGACAAAATAACGAGGTAGACCAACTGAAGAATATACAAAGATGAGGTGTCAGAAAACAAAAAATACATAATGTTTACAATTTATTGACAACTTCTGAAATGTCTAGCTTCTAATACCAGAAATATACAAATCTACCGTGTGTAAAATTCCAATCATAGTCTACAATTGTTAACAGAAATCAGACTAACATAGTAGTGTTATGAGCCGATGGTTAATGTGAACTCTTCTGGAAGATTTATTCATTAATTGTTTTGAAAGAAACAGCTGTATTACTCAAATGTTTTAGTCAGTTAAGTCTTATTTTCTACTGTTAACTAGTCTATGTGTAACATAAAAAAATTTGATTTATTACTTTCCGATTTGTCCAGACTGGATCGTTCATAGCTACTCGTCAACTTACTGAACTAGAAGATCGATTTGAAAATGAAGTGATCGCTAGACGCCACCGAGCTACTTCAAATGATCCAGTGAGACATCCTCCTGAACGTCCAGTATTGTCAGATAGTGGTGAGTGATTTGTAAGCTGAGTAACTTATTTTTACCTTGAAGACTTATCATTTGATATGATTCTATCCAACCAAAATTGAGGTGAATAATTATGAAAAAAGATTGCTAATTGTCAAGCGGAGTTACCTTTTACTTTGTGAAATCCCATATGTTGATATCAGACGTTGTGAGGCAGTTAATGCGAGGTTGTCTCATGTGTGTTAGGATTTATCACTTAGGTGTATCTGGATTCTTGAAAAAACCAGTAAACAAAGAATTCACATTCACAGTTTGTTTCTTGAACTGGGTACACCTAAAGGGAATATTTATGTTCAATACGGGAAAAAATTTCAGTGATTGGTGTTGCGAACAAAGTGGGTAATCATGAATGCAGTTATCTGATAGTCTCACTTTGTTTTTTCTATAGTAAGGAAGACCAACCCATTGTATTTGGCTTCCGAATTTGATAACTTCAGTATCACCACAGCTAAAAGTTCAATTCCTTTTGCATGGATTTCTTCCCATAGACACTTCAGTATTCCTGTTAACCTATTTACACTTGTAACAGTCTGCGACAATTATCTGTACTCAATTAGTAAATAAAGTTGTAAGTTCAAATGAATTAATTCTCTTCATACGAAAGCTTTACTAACTGATGGCGATATTTCGATACTTGGATAATTTGTTCATTTACTTTTTACTGACTTTTTTCTCAAGTAGTTGCTATCCTAATTATATTTGTGTATGTGTTTCCTTAACAGAGCATCGACATAATTGCCGTGCTTCTCGCTTACATCGATCAAAAAAGTCATTTCATAATGATACTGCGAATTCCTTGTCTATGAATGGTAACTCTGATAATGATTTGACAGACGAAAGTGATGGAGAAGTTTCAAAGGATATTCGTTTAGATCAGCCTAAAAATAAGGTATTCTTGATTGGTAATTATTTCATTGCCAACATTTTAAAATTACGCACTATTTTGTGAAGCATTCATGTAGACACGTGACTTTCAACCAAAGGAGGAGCATTAATTAAAGCCGCGCTGTACCTGCAAGCGTTTGAGTAGTTAGGGTGAAACTCTTAATTCAAAACACTATGTTTGTTGTTTCTGTGCCTGTATTCATATATTCTGTTCGTTAGCAAGTTCATCAAAAGTTTTGTTGGCCGCTAAAATAATGAGTTGCAAATGCAAGGTATTTCAAAGTATTTACTGTGGTCCTGATTACCAATTAGTATAACGATTGATTTTCAGTAAAACAATAGAAAAGTATTTGAGGATTTTTGACTCAACTTATTTAATGTTTCCAGGCTTTAAATAGTTTCAGTGTGATCAAAACAAAATATAATCATATTGTTTAGGCTTAGTGAGTGTGACACAATGGCCAGTTAATTTTACCTTTTTTCAGCCAACTTAGAAAATCTGATGAAGTGTTGAAGGGGAGATTTCAAATTAGCATAAGGGAATCTATACAACTTTCAGGCATATATCACTCAGTGTTTTCCAACTAAAATCCTTTTTTACTTATACAGGTTGAGAGTGACGGATTACTGGTTCAGCGTGGAATCGTGCATATCAGTTCATGTCACACTAGGAACACTTTTCGTGCGGAGATTTCACTGCCCTAAAACTTCCCACCATTTTTATTCTAATTAGTGCTCTTATCTGGGGATCCTGTGGAATCAGCAGCCGGCGTTTCTAGTATTGGTGTCGTACTAAATGTCAGAGTCGAAGATGCATTAATCAACTGGATCTCCATTGACAATTGTCTGCTACTCTAGAAGCTTCGACTACAATGAGAAGTAGCAAAGCGGACGATGTCTCTTTGTCATCTCTGCCTATGCTTCGACTGGATGCACTTAGTTATGAGTTTTGTCATCAACTGAGTAGCCTTCTTTATCAGGTGCACTCGACCAATATCTTTGTGCAAGTCATAACCTGTTTCTAGCCAGGGCTAACTTCCAGCACAGCCATCGCCTTTGTGCTACCTTGTGTCCCCTTCCTCTGCCACTCAAGCATGCACTCAAATTGATCGTATTGCAATCAGCTACTGATGGCGTGGATATGTTCAGGACTGTCACTCCTTCTGGAGCATCTGTTCGGACTGTGATCACGCTTTAGCCTTTGATAAGTTTATCTTGTGTTTTGATGGTCATCAAAATCGTCATCCGAAATGCGTCTATATAAGTAAACTGGATGCACTTAGTATTGGAATTCAGTAGCAAACTGGGCTAGATTCAAGGCTAGCTGTTTGATCTCCAGAAAGTATAAATGAGCGTTGGTCACACTTACATGACACCATGGAAGCGGCGGGTAAAGCTGCTGTGACTTTAAAGAACCTCCCACTAATAAACACTGGGTCTCTGCGAGCTCATTAAAAATTTTTGACGCTCATCAGTGTATTGCGGGAATCAGCAAGTACAATGGTAAGGAAGGCGAGGTATGGTGACCACGACTCGCAAATGAGATTAAAACAACAGCCGCACCTGACGATAGTTGGCACCTGTTCTAGCTCATCTGAGCCACTGGCAGCGAGAAGCCTAGTCTCAGTGAGACTATATGAAGCAGATTGTAAGCCTGTCACCAACTTCTGTAAACGCCTGGAACGATGGATGAAGCACTTTGAAAAACAGTTCAGCTGGCCCACTGCTTCAGCAACATCGAATTTAACATCTTGTGTTCCTCGGTTAGCTGACACTTGCCAACCTAACGAAGCGGGGGTTCATGATGAACTCCAGCTTCGGAAGCGTTGTAAGACTCCAGACCCAGACAACCTACACCTGACTTTTTTGGGAGGGAGATGAGACAGTTGTCAGGGAACTGACTAAAATTGCCTAGGGATTTTCGACAGACTGAGATTGTACTATGACTGTGGATTGAATATGTACTGTTATATCCATCTTTAAACGTGGTCTTCGCAATTTTTCATTGGTACTTGGGATTTCCCGTTCTACTCTGCGTCAAATTGCTCGACCTCTGTCGGCAGATGGGCTACTATGCAGATGCCTCGACTGTGGATGGATATTCATTATATTGCAGTCTATTTGATGGCTAACAGTGGGGTCCAGGACGCGCGTTTCGTCCTGTTTGAGACTGGTCAGCTGGATGTATCTGGACCCCAGTAAGTAATGACCTCAATGAGACTCGAACCGGGTACCCATCGCTTCAAACGCTTAGCCTTATTCACTAGGCCACTGGGGCACAAGAGTCATCACTTGTGCAATGGGTATCAGTTGTTTGTTGTTACTTGTGATTTTCCGTTGCTACACTGGGTCAAATTACTCAACATAATATGTAATGAACATCGGTAGCATCAAAATATTGGACGGTATCATACTCAGCAGGCTCTGCAACACACTTGAGGAAGTGATCCGCGAGAAGCAGGCTGGATTTCGTTCAGGTTGTGAGTGCATTGATCGTGCATTTACTCTCATTTAAAGGCTCAAACACCGTCATGCGTACTGCAGGTCAATGATTGTTGTATTCCTCGATATTAGGGCTGCCTTCGTTTCGCTGAACAGAGCTATATTCTGAACGAAAGCGTTGTCCCTAAGTTGTTTCTTAACTTCTTGAAAGGCCTAAACTTCTGCATCTTAGGTAGAATGAAAGCTTACAGTCACTCATTTCCATTGTTTGTTACCAATAGTAGGGTTAAGTAAGGTTTCTCGATTTCTCCATCCCTCTTCAATTTCACCATGGATGATATTCTAAAGACAACTCTGAAAATGTGTGGTGGTGATGGTGTAGATTTTTTACTAGATGTTCGGACATCAAGTAATGTGGGCTATATCGTTTGACCGTGCAATAAAATGCAAGCTATTCAAATCGCACTCAGTCAGTAAGCGATCAATATCCGTGAGTATGGTATAGGATTCTTGCGGTCAAGTGCTTCCATAAAATTGGCATAAACATGTACGTGCACTCATCCTTGATGATGAACTGTCGTTTACCTGGGTGTTTTTGCGAATGAAGGTGTGACCGATTAGATTTCCGACTGTATATTAAAAGCCAGAGTGACATACGTGAAACTGAGTCACTTTTTGTGCCGTCGTCACCTCTATAAATTGCTAGGTGTACATTTGGTTAGTGAGGGCAGATCTGCTCTTCCCTGTGAAATCTGGCCTCTCCAGGCTAGGGATGTCTAAGAACCCTGCGTATGCGATCACTGTTATCTCCATGTAATTAATTCCAACATGAGGTGGGGTGTGTTTAGGGGTGATGGGGATCGTCACTCATTGTGGTCATCTTGCAGTACCGACACTTTTTGCTTAAATATGCGTGACGCATGTCGTCCTAGGGGCTCCCACATTGCTCACTGTTTACTTCCCGTGAGACTGGAAGAAGAAGAGGCGTGGTCATTGTAGTACGTGGCTCCGCAGATGAAGGATAATTGTGTTGTATTAGCATCTGTAAGTGCTTCATAACTCTCTGGATGGGGTTGGAGAGATTGCACGTCTCAGTGGCTTGAAACAATAGCAGACACTACTCAGAATGGAGACCAGTCACGATTAAGCTGCACTTTTCTTTTTTCTTCTCTTATCGGAAAGGGAAATGATTTTAGTGAATACTTCTTAGGATATATCTTTGAAATTACTTCTTTAGTGACCCACTTCTATTTTTATTTCAACTTTCTCCTCCCTTTTTGTGTCTTAATGTTGCTTTATTCTTTTGTATGGCGCATCTCTTGGTGTCCATACTGTACCAATTTCGTGTTCTAAACAAGGTAATGAAAACCCTAGCCAACGTTTTACGTCGTCATACTTAGCCTTTAGGCATCTCTCATTTATCTCGTACCACTTACTAGTCTTAACATAAGTCGAAGACAATTGTGGTCATGTTATACACTTTCGATGACTACGTCACAGCTACTTATTATAATTTGGAAAACTACTGGGCTGTATACTCTACTCTTTGAAGATCACTTTGTTTTTGTTGGTAATGTAGGTGATAAGTTCCAACTGAATCATCTGGGGTTATTCAAGCAGTTATTCAGCACCTACATCAGATGAGACAGTCGAGTCTTCTGGACACTTCGAGTGACAATTTGAGAATGTTTAGGATGCATTTCTCACCACCCAAATACAAATTGTTCCTCCAGGATTTGTCTTCAACGGTGCCTTGGCTTACAATAGAGAGTATAGTAATTGAGTGTGTTGACCACTTCACTTACCTGGGAAGTGGGATCAGCCCTGGTGGCTCAGTAGTCGATAAAATTTCTGCACGAATACGAAAGGCTCAGCTAGCTTTTGCCAACTTACGCCACCTGTGGCGCCGCCGTGATGTCCGATTTTCTTTTAAGGGTTATGTGTACTGCACAGCTATACCGAATCTCACCATTTTCTTGTTCTTCCTTTCTCTCTTTTCGTATTTTATATTTCTTTTGACTGAATTTTCTTATCTTCATCTTCCATTTTATTGACTTGTTACTTGATGTGCTGATATGAGGTGTGGCAACTCGGACCGTTATACAGTAATGCTTGGTGCTATGTTGATTTGGATGGAGATGGTTGAGGCATCCAGCTTTTTCCATTTTTGTAGGTTATACCAAGTGATGATATGCCTTCTGACACAGTTATGTTTGGTTTTGATTGAAAATACACTTCGAACATTTCGAAGTCTTTATTTAGTGTCCACTTATCAGCGCTTTCGCCTTAAATATCTATTGTCTACCTATATGAGTGAGTTAGGGTTCAGTGAGAAAGTTGATCCTTAAAATGTTTGAAGTAAACTGACTTAAGCAAAGTTGAATCGAAAAATTCTGAGCAGTAGTTGTTTCCAAATAATTCCTGTGTTTATGTATCGGCTTGAAGCAAGTCCTCATGAATTTGAGAATCGTGGTTAGTAGCATTCTAGGCATACAGTTCATGTACTTTTGTAGGTATTGATACGGTAAACATAATATGCTTTTGTTGAGTACCTCCTATCCATTATTTATGCTATTCGATACAGAGTCGTTGCGTTTTTCTCTGAAGAGATTTTGTTTAATTTCACTTTAATGTTTGTTTCTTTCCCTTTGAATGGTAGAATTTGTTTACCGAATCAACAGCAGATACAAAGATTCATAATTGTCACCGTCGTAGTCGTAAAAGTAAAGCCAACTTATCATATAATTATGAAACCGCTTGTCGATCAAATGATAACTCAATACCTGATTCTGACTCACAAACTGTTGGATGTCATTCAGTCGGTCAGCGCAGTATAAGACAACAACGTGAAGTTGCTTATAAAGTTGAACATCCGAATCGACTTCATCCTGATATATGGCATAATGAAGCTAATGAATTTAATGATGGTCCAGCATGTTCTTGTAAACCAAAATATCGTATAGGACCTCTACATAATCAATATGAAGGAGAACAGGTAGTTTTAGCAACTATTATCTTGTTTTGTAGTCATGACTTATAGTGTCAATAATCTATACCTTCAACTACTACTACTACTACTACTACTAGTAGTAGTATTAGTATGGTTTGTTTAAACTAACTTTGTCTTCGATAGTAATGACCGATAGTGACAAACAGTGGAATCCAGGATGCGCGTTTTGTCCTATTTAAGACTTGTCAGCTGGATGTGTTTGCCTTCCAGTGGGTGATGTTGTTCCCACTGAGACTGACTAGAACTAATCACTTTAGACACTAAAGCATTATCCACTAGGAGGAAGGCACATCCAGCTAATGGGTCCAAAATAGGACGAAACACGCGTTATTCACTGTCTGTCGTTACCATCAAAGTAAAATTATGGGCAATTTCGGGGCATCAGCGCAGGAGGCTATTTGCTAATGGTCGCCAATCAATTCGTTCCAATCAACGACGGGAAATTAATAACCATAACATAAATATGTCATGATCCAAGACACCCATTTCATAAGCTGAAGCATTTACTGCGAATACAACACGTAAAAGCTGGATAATGTTTCATCAGTGGTAACTTATAATTTAGCATCGACTTCAATTCAAAAAATACAGATTCACATTCTTTTGCTATGTTTCAGTGTATATTCTTTTCTAACAAATGATTTAAGGGTTGACTGTAAGTTGGTCGAGTAGCAACCTATTATTAGTTGTAAGAAAGGTTGTAATGGGTTGACTGCTTTAGGAGTAGACATCGCATGAATAAAGAAAACACAAGCTTCAGGCTTCTACTAGAAGCATTAAGTGCAAGACCAAGGTATTCCAGACACGGTAGTCAGTAATATGAAGGTTGCTGGTTCAAATTGTGCTGCAATGTGCTAGTTGCACCATAATGCCGGGTCTTTTTGGTAAATCCTACCTGTCTGTGTTCTGTGGTAATATTCGATTGTTGAGTGCAGGTACATCCAGTTGGTGAGTCTTAAATAGGACGGAACGTGCATCTTGGATTCCTCTGCTAGTCACTGAGATCAGTATAAGGTTTAGTGTCTTGATTGATGAATCTTCTGTTCGTTCCTGAACTGCATGTGGGCTACTCTGCAGGCGTAAAATAGAATTTCGCCTTTTTGGGTTATGTACCTACGAAAGACTTTTTCAGTCCCCTGCCTAGCATTAGAGAGTGTTTATTACTTCTGTGTCAGTCGTTGAGATGTTGAGTGAGAGATCATGGCCTGTGGAATCAAATAAGTTGCGACCGAACCAAATACTAACCGACGACGATGGATGGTGACCGCACTATATCGTAAATTGACAAGAGTGAACCAATGGATCCTAACTTATTAGTTGAACGGTAACTCACTTGCCGTGAAACCTGACAGTTCTGGGTTCGATCCCTCAGGGGTCATGGGTGCGCGCTGCTGATTCTTAAACTAGTTCGAAACAGCTGTCCAATGCTCTCAGTTTTTAAATATTTCTCCAGTTGATGTCAGTCCGTGATGAAAATTATGATACATTGTTTTTGTTCGGCAACCAACCTGTAATGAAGTGAAATTCACCTTCAAATGTCACAGAAATCAATAATCAGAGTAATCTTGCTTGTTGTCACTGCACATTGTGTATTATCAACAAAATCGTGAATGTAAAGGAGTCCTAAATTTAAAACCCCTTTTTATTCTAGCCTATACCAATATGTATCCCAGAATCGAGTAATCATGATCGCCTCTATCACTACCGTGTACTCATCTCACCGACAACTAATTTTGTTCAACCTGTCCCATCGAAAATCACACATGATGGCAATGATTATATATTTGATGGATTTTCATTATTTCTGCATTACAAATTGAATAAGGTAAGGAATTAAATAATTGAAATGTTTCTGTTAGCGATCTGCTCAAATATCTGGGCTGCTAAATTTTCCATCTTACCATATTGCATCAAATCTTCCTACGCTTTTGTTTACTTTTATCATTTTATTGTCTTCTCATTACATTATAAATTCACGCACATTTTTGAAAAGTTTACAACCTATTGCAATTCTTTTATCGAATAAGATGGAGAAAAAGCATCACGGTGAATGGTAAAAGTGATTTGAAACGAATAACTTTATCTCCAATGACTCTGCCTGAAATTCTCAGCACAAGCTGCAGTTCCTTGCAGGGAAAAGTGGGTTACTTGCAATCTCTTCTATCTTCCAATGTGTACCGTAATGCTGGAGTAATTACATTACAAGAAATCTGGTCACTTAATCTCCATGATGACAATTTGGTTTCTCTTAGTTGTTAGAAAATTTTTTCGTCGGGATCAATGCCGCTCCACTAAGAAATATGGAGGTAGTGTAGCTACTTTCATCTTTACCCATTGGGGCGTTTTGAGTTATATACGCTTCAAATGCTCAAATGAATACAGGCTCCGTCACTGTAAAATGCCTCCCGAAACATTTAGACAAATATCACCTTTATAGGTGTTAATTGGTTGAAGGCTATCAGCAGGAAGCCCTGGACTTAGGTTTCGTGCTTGTTAGCACTCGTCAGCAAGACGTATCTGCAGCCTCGACGGAACTGATGTTCCGTTTGAGATCCGAACCCACGTTACCTAGTGTTGTAGTCAGCGACGTTACCACTGAGTTACTGAGGCCGCGAATAGCAATGCGGTGCTAAACCTCCTAGCTTGGTGGTTGTGTTGCAAAAATAATAATCAGTAGAATTCGGTCAGCACACAGGACTAAACAATATGATATTGGTTGCTCTCCCATGGCCAATCAGTGTAAATATCGCTTCGCTTATATCACAAATATTTATGTGACCCCCGGTTGCACTTAAGCCGAACTATCTGGTTTCTCTGAAATATTCACGGAATTCGCAGCCCCAATACTCTGTGGTTTTTTGTTGATAATATGTGGTGATTTTAAATCTTGTGACCACAGATTTCTCAGAACTCTTGGTCGTCAAAACCTTGTTAGATTAACAACATGTCAAGATGCAGCACTAGGCTTGGTATTCGTCAGTGACACTCATACATATGAAACTCGAAAGAGAGTCCCACTGCTCATCTCAGATCACTGCATTATATACGTGCTTTTCCGAAAATATATGGCAAACGACACAAAATAGCCTTCACATATTGGTATAAGAAAATAATGCTCGCAAAGTAACATACTTCATCTAGGAGAATTACTGCAATGTACAGACTGGAATATATTTAACAGCAATGTCGCCAATGTAACTAGCTCCACAGGAGTAAGTAAATTTACAGACATATTGAATTGATCCAAAGCGGCAACTTATCATTGGTACTCTGTAGAACCATTTGCTCACTTCTCAGCTTCGCAGAGCAAAGTGTCTTCTTCAGAGATGTGGACAGTCGATTCTTCAGTATCTCTGCTACCGTACGACCTTTGAAACCAGCGTTCATATACAGAGTCTTCTTTGGAGCTGTCAGTAGTTGCTCCGTATTCTGTTTTAATTTCATATCTTTCTCAATAAATCTCGATAGTTATCCATTTTGTATGAAAACTTCCCGGAGTTTATCTGATTCATCGTCGGTAGTATCATTCGTGCAGATTCTTCTGATTATTGACGACAAAGAATAAATCAGATTTCTTTTTCTTCTGAGCGGCCTCCAGCTATGAAAATTCATGTGTTGTCCATTCCAATTTGGTTTCCTGTAAATCGATCTCCAAAGAGAACCATCTGATCTCCGTTTCACTATAACATCGAATAAATTAAATCCTGAGTTCTCTTCTAATTCTAATGTGAAGTTGGTCTTTTGGGTGAAAATCATTAAACTTCTCAACTGAAGTTTCAATATCTGTATTTTGACCACATATTATGAATGTATCACTCATTTATCTTTTATAAGGATGAGGACGATTAATTATTGAGTGGAGAACATTATTCTCTATGTTTACCATGGGAAAATCAGCCAACATCGGTCCAAGTGGTGACCCGATTACGACTCCGTCTTTTTGTTTGTACAGCTCGTTATTGAATTTGAACTGCACGTTGAAACGACGTCCTAGAAGTAGTTCTCTTCAATAATGCTACGGGATACCTACGTGAAAATCATTACATTCACTTAAATCGTATAGAAACACTCGAGGTTTCAACGTGATGTCCTGCAAACCTAGTACTTCCCGCTTTGTACAAACATAGAAAAAAAGTTTCTATGAAAGAGGCATTGGTACAGAGAGACACTATTCGGTTACAGGATACATTGACATTATTAATTGAGTCAACAAAGTCAAAATAATTCAATACACTGTGCATGTTTAACTGTTTTCTGACCAGTTAAACAACGTCCGACAGCCATTTTGCTATAGCACGGTATCGTGACTTGCTCATATCCAAAATTGTATGCAGGGGAAAACGTCTGCGTACTTGCGGGTTACCATGTAAGTAAGGAGTTACAGAACCAGATGGTCGAGATTGCTGAAATAGTTCGGAACTGATCATAGGCTAATTCTTCATTTTCTTGAGAATCTAAGTGAACTTTCGTTCAGTTTGCTCAGTAGCATCATTTTGAGTGAACTGTTTTGAAAATCGACCTATATCTGATAAGATAGTACTTTAGCGTTGTAATCCAGACGATACCAACACCTTTATCAAGATGAACTAGAAGCAAATCTTTATTTTTCATGTTCTCACGCAGTTGCTTTTTATGTTTCTTTTTTAGCAGTGGTTTGCAACATGGTTTCGTGTTAAAATACTGATGACAGCGATTAGAAAAAGTTGCTTTGAACTGTTCAAGTCTCTTGTTTGAAGCTGGTAGAAGATCATTCACTTGACTAATCAGATGTTCAAACTGAACTGTTATGTCTAAATCATTAGTAGTTATTGAACTATCGCATTTGAGAAAACTAATTCATGTATTTGCTACGGCAAGCTTGACGGAAAACTTCAGAAATCCATTGAGTTCCTTCACTGTCATTTGATTGCGTAACCTACTAGCTCCTTAACAGCCCCTTCTTTCGCACTTCTGTCTGTTTGTTGTCGTTGGCTTTCCATAGCTTCAGAATTTTCTATCTCATCAAATATAAATCACTATTGGTTTTGACTAAGATTTATGCTTATTAATCTTGTGTTTTCGCCACTCACTACCCTATTGGTAGTCAGTTGTTGGCTGTTTGTGGCTTACGTAAGGCCGTGAAAGAAAATGAGCTTATTTTATTTTGCAAACATCTTTGTTTTTGCATTATCCAATCTTGTCTGCTTATTTTGAGTTACTTAGCCTTTGTTCTGGTTGTTGGTATGTATTATATGTTTTTATAGAGGTCAGTCGCAGCACATTACTTGATCTATGCATACAGTTTCTCGATAGGAGTGTATATATATATACATATATATATAATTGAAACGGTAGTCGAGTCTCCTGCCATCTATCTTTAGTTTTTTAGTGGTTTTCTTCTCTTCTTTCCCCAAGTGACACGTTTTTAGCATCAAATGTAGTTATTGTTTGCTTTTATTTCAGCGTTAAGCTGGTCAATTTTTGAGCTATTTTTTTTTTATTGAACTCCGTTTATTCTAGCCACCTCCATGTCAAGTTCTGCGTTTCAACCTGTTGTACGATATTTTTCCAATTGAAGAGGAATTCCCTCCGGTATGTTTGTTTGAGTTTCAGAGTATTCTCCATTCAAACTTTTTCAACTTATAAAGTAATGAATAAGTATTTTGGTTATGCGGCTTGGTTCACCTCACCTTACAGAATGTTTATAAAGTAATCTGCATGGTATAGGCATACAACTGTCAAGCTCTGTATCAGCAATTCTTCTTCATTCCAGTAACGGCAGTATTATTATCCGTCATGTGATAGTTGTATGAACACAGAAACTCGAAATCTTTAGGTGATTAGCTTGAACATTCACTTCTAAATCAATAGGTCATAGGTTTGAGACCTTGAATTCCTTCCTATCAAAGTTTAATCAGCTGAATAGTCATGCACTCAGTCATCCCTCACACAGATGTGGCTCATATTATATAAAGTCTTGTTTGGTTGCTTATTTGAACTATGCATTGCGTCAATACATAGACTGGATTGTATTCATAAAGGCAAGGAATGATAAAATCAAGTTATATTAGCACTAAGTAATTTGTAGTAAATAATATTCTTCAGATTGTATCGAAATTTAGTAGAAATGTTTAGGTGTGACCTGTATCAATATATTTTTAAGTGAGTAGGTTATCCCACAAACCAAGGGCTAGCGTAAGTTATTTTGATGTTGTGATTAAGTCTGTTAACTAGCTTGTGGATTGTTTAAAGTGTAAAACTGCAACATCCACCTAATATACCAAAGTGGGGCATACAATAAGTGTAGTTTATAGTGCAGGGACCCATAAATGGTTGAATCCTTTGAATTTGTGGTGTATACACTCGTAAAGATACATTTCAAGTCAATACGTTGACGATTACAAATGACATAACAGTTTTTTCCTTTATACTAAGTGATTTCAGAACAGTAACCGATGTTATACCTGTTCCTAAATGCTGATATGATTATCGAGTTAAAAGACTCATGATTATTTTCTCTTTTAATATCTATGCTAGAAAAAACGTCAGCAACAATTAAGCGTCATAAACTACCGACATGTGTGAGAAATACGATCATTGTACCCCTAAGTCGATTTGAATGACCCTTATTTTCAACTTGAATCAATATATGGTTTAGTTCAGCTTATCCTCTAGTGAGAGAGAGAGAGAGAGAGAGAGAGAGAGAGAAACAATACCAGGATGATGATTGTAGACATGTGTATTGCAATTCCTCAGAACAAGAGGAAACATGTTCAACACTTTCTGATTCTCAGTGGTCTTTCGATCGATGTTGAATAGCTTAATCATTCACTCCGTTTGCTTGTCCCTAAGTCTTCATCTTTAAAATAGTATTTTACTCACTCTGTGTACTTTTCATTTGTTATCATTGTTATGCGCAGAAAAAAATAATTCAAAGTATCATTGAAAATCAGAGTGCTTTGGGCATCACATATAATATTTGTATTTGACACTCTTCGATAGTTCGCAATCCTATGAAATTGTCTCAATTCTCTCTGTCTGTTCTCGAATAATCCTTCGAATGGGAACGACTCACACCGAAACAGCTTAACTCGAAATATTGATATTTTCTTCTTTTTCTTTGCTTTTCTTATCTTCTAGTATTTCACCGTTCGTTCATTAGATCTCCTTACACAATATGTGTTTATTGAATTATTAGAATTGTTGGATTTGAGTTGGAAACCGTATGCAACTGAAGAAAGTTGCAGTGTGATACATTTAATGCCGAGATTTATACGTCTACTGTCAAAATCTGATCTGACATCATTATCATCCAGTGGTTATCTTTCCATTACCAATACTACTGATAACAATTCAGTCGACAGTAATCAACAGTGTAATAATCAGTCAGATAAATCGGTTGTAAGCTGTGATAAGGATAATGAGGCAACTGGTGAGTTGTTACCAGTCCATGTGATAATGCAGTATTGGTTAAAAGAAGCATTGACTCCAGTGATTGATATGATGGAGTTGTCTTCATTACAAAAAATGTCTACAACTGAATGGTCAAATTATATTGCTGATTTGCGCGGAACTTTAACTTGTTTTCCAGGCAAAGTGAGTTTTAAATCTTACATATTGATCTCCTTTTCTAATGATAATTGTATTTAAAACAGGTAGCAGAACTTGTGAAAGCAACATTGAGTGGATTTATTAGTTCTGATTGTAAGTACACAAAGGTACATGCAAACGTAATGCAAGTACTTCATTAGATTGGAAACATCAGTTTTTGCAGAATAGCACGTATCTATTGTATTTTAGTGTTTGTTATCAGCTGCTTACAGTCTACAACAGTTTCAGCGTCAGGAAAAAAACGTTTACATATTTGTGTCGTCTTGATAGAAAACTATTGACTTGAAGAAAGGATTACTTTCACGTTATGTAACTGAAGCTACATGAATCCAATGGTCAGAGTTACAAACACTAATAATAAGGCTGACTGTACATGAGAAAATCTAAGGAGTATTGTAGAAACAAGAAAAGTGTTATAATCCACGGTATATATGATGATACAATGCTCCGACGCGATACGATTACCTATGGAACAATGACTTTTCAACTCGGTATTCAGCTGACACCAGAAGAAGACGATTGGATTAAAAGTATATTTAATTCAACCGGATAACTTCATAGCTGAACATCCAAGCTTTTTAATGTCCTTAGATTACCTTGACCAGGGGTAACAAAATAGCGTATTAAAAGTGTAAAATGGACCAATCAACGTTAAGTATCCTAAACTGCGGTAAAAATAAGTAACACAGTGTGCCGCCAAAAAGGTGCGAAAATAAGATTTAAATCTTACAGTGATAATGTAAACATATTACAAGTTAGTTTTTCTTAGGGATTAGGCATGCCTGACAAAAAGAAGACATGTATCCTGCGTACTGATAAAAGCATTACGTAAAAATATGAGTAAAGTTCAGGCAACAAAATCAATTGTTAACTGGAACAAATAAAACAGGTGATGTTATTTGAAGGATATCGTACCTATCAAAAGTAACTCAACAAGAAATTGCCAGGATAGGTATATACTGACAACAGTTTCTTTTTGAATACATAAGTTCGGTTTTGATTGCCTGATAGCAACCGCTTCAGTGAAACGCCAAAAAAATTCAAGTTCATCTGTTTACAAATTAATCTTAAAGACTTCTTGGTACTGACTTTATGTCCATTATCAATTAGTTGACGAACACCGTTGAAGACTTTCGCACCTATTAGTTGCAAACTCCGTTGAATATGCTAATAGATGCCGTCACAAATCCTCATTGTTCATCCAGTTTTTGTGCTTTGACAAATGAATTGTTATATGCACCGAGAGATAGCATGAAAATGGGACTTGCCAATCGTAAATTGTTTTAGTGGAAAATTCGTTTGGCAAGGCATGATAAATTGGCAACGGGATAGGCCATCTCTAATACAGAATTTATTGTGTAAGGAATTCTCCTAGAGAATTACCTTTGAAGTCAATTTACCTTTGATGATTTCTCTTTAGGGGCATCTCACTTCTCTTTTTTTACTTTGTATTGTCTTGTTTTTATCACTCAGTTTTTATGGATTTCTGTTTTCATCAAGTCACTTTATGAACCGATCTTTCTAGCAAACGTATCCTATGCTGTTGAAAAGTGTCTTTACTAGCCTTTTCTAATCAAACGAAAGCCGTTAAAATTAAGACGGAGACTATTCTATGAATCTTTACGATGGATAAATATTTGTATCTTGTCGTCCATATTCCATTGAATTCCCAGATAGACGCGTTTAAACTTCTCATTCTTTCCCTTCAGCTTCTTCCAAGGGGATCCATCTTAATAATATCAAAGGACACCATAAGTTTCTAAGATATGTTTTGACTTTATATTTGTGAAGCAAATTGGAAGTCATCTTTCAGACTGTTAATTACCAACTTTGTGTGAATGATAACGATGATAATAAGGTATTTAATCATCAGAATGAATTGATAGGACAACAAGGGAGTAAGATAAAGAATAATATAAGTGTGATAAAGTTACAAGCTAAAAAAAACCTACCATAGAGGACTCTATTATTTCTTTCTGTGTGCAAAAATAGTATTTACAGACATCAATCCCACAGAACTGTGCAATTGCAGGCATTTTCTTATTTTGCTGTTTGTGAGGGTCTTAGTGTGACACTAGTGTCATACTGTTAGTACAAACAGCAAATACATGGTACAATCAACAAACCAGGAGTAAAAGAGTAACTAAGTAAAAATCTGAAATTTATTCACCTTCTGGAAAGGAAAACAAACTATACATGGGAATACGCTCGTGTATGATTTATCCTACGTATACTCCCATAATTTAATAACACTACGGGAAAGAATTGTGCATACCTTTTTAAGGACAATCCTTTCTAAATGCATGAATTAAAAACACATTTCTTTTGCACAGTCAACCAGGATCATAACTTCACACTCAAGCCCCTTCTCAGCATCATACCTAACTTTGGTGGTATTTAGGTTCGTCATTGTTCAAGTTCTAAATAGTTTGTACTAACTTGTTGGTAACATTGAACCAATTAAGTAGCCAGTTTAACCTGAAAAGTTAGTAAAATATTGTCACAGATAGTAAATACTGTCAACATATTTTCTACATAACTTAGATTCTATGTAGTTCCTCAGGATTATGCTGACTGCTCGATAAATGATGATTGGCAGATTCATTTTTCTCAAGTGTTTCCGAATGCTGCAGTTAGCAGACCTTTGTCTGTTAATCGTGCTGTTAGTTCAGCAAAACCTTCTAGCTATTTCTTTTATCTGACAAAAGTATATAATCGTCTATTATGTAGTGTTGCGCTTGTGTGTCTTACATTTACATTTGTTTCTGAAGCTTTCCGTAGTACTGAGAATGTGATGATTATATTGAACGCATTGGGTTTCCTAATGTTGTGAATATCAAACTTAAAAAATGTGTGGATAAATTCTAATGAATTAATTCATCTAGCGGTTTGTATGGATTGACTAGTTTCAGAGTAACTTTCATAACTGGTTGATATCATTTGGAGAAATATCGAAACATTGGAGGCAATGGACAATTGTTTCATCCTAATTTAGGACTTCTGATCAATGTGCACCCATCGCCTTGTGAATATTTGAGACCAGGACTGTTAGGTCTTGCAGCGAACATGTTACCATTCATCTTTCCAACTTCCGTTCAATAAGTAATTAATTTCTGTTCTATTGGTTTTCATGTAATTATTGTAACCTGTTTGGGTTGACATGTTTTTATTCCCACTATCCTTGATTTTTCTTTACTTACAATATCATAGAAACCAGCTGCTATACGTATAGATCAGTTAGATCGCCAGTCTGTTACAGGTCAACCAAATAAGGGAGTACTAATCTATCCACTCATAGTGCATATGACATATACACCGATGAAATTAAGTTTGACACGTGAACCGAAATATAAATGTGTATTGAAAAATTTCATGAAATTACAATATTTAATGATGAATAAGCCTAGAATCAGTCCATCGGATCGTGCACAACTGGTTCAATTGGCTAATGAACTAGAGGAGATGGAACATTCAGGGTATGTGGTACGGATTAATATGTTTTTGTATATGTACTCTTTGTCATTTTGGAATCTTTAATATTTTCCCTAACCATCATCTACTTATCCTCACATCTATATGGAACTGTAGCTTATTCCATGAGGAACTGGAGTTTCAGGCAATGGGTCCTACGTTCCAGCTTTGTTCTACTTACTTCAAACTGAGCAACCAAGTAGTATCATAAGCCTTCATATAACAAGTACGTCTCGTAGCCTATTACATAAACATGTACCGAGTTGAGTTAGATTATTTTATTAATTCACCATAGTATCATTTCTTCTATGAAGTTGTGAAGAGTGACAACCTAAACCAATACACTTCTGTGACAGGTCCTATGTTGATCAGTCTGCCTGTCTCTATCTTAACTTTTTTGTGTGGGTGTTGTTCAACAATAAATACTAGGAAACAGTGTATATATTGCAAATTAGCGATAATAAAAGTACTCAGTCATCAGTTATTGATGAAGTGAAACACTTGAGATAATATTATTAAGTTTGGATAAAGTCATTAGAAGACGTAGATAATCTGAAAAATCTGATGTATTTGCACTTTACATTTCGAACAGTCGGATCACGCAGTTACTTGTTAAGACATTTCATGCGAAGACTGGAAGTGGACGTACCAATAACGTTAGGTACGTCTAACTTCACTGGAAGTCATTTAGTTGCCTAGGAATATGTAGACGATATTGTCATGCTAGGTGAAAATGTTGACAAAATGCAGGTTCCTCCAAACGTGTTGAGCAGAAATTTAAGTGTGTTTGGCATGCGTTTCGCACCTGTCAAATGTAAGATGATGCTTTTCAACGATTCCCAGTTTAATGATTGAGAGTGAAGTGATGAAACGTGTCGACCACTTCACTTGCTTAAGAAGTTGCATCAGCCCGAAAGGGCTGATCGCTGACGAAATTCCGGCTTGAACAAAGGAGACCCGTTTGTCATTTGCCAATTTACGTCACCTTTGACGTCGGCAAGATATTTGGCTATCTACCCAACGACAAGTATGCTGCATTGCAGTCCGTTCTGTCTTGTTATACAGGTGTGAGACGTCGCCGTTGGAAGTAGAAGACTTAACGTGGTTTGTGACCACAGGTGTCTTTGTAGCATTTCTCACGTTTGGTGAAATCTGTGTGGGTGATGCAGAATTTAGGAGAAGGGTACTTGGCAAGGAAGACAAGCTGATCATTGAAGTTGTGAACCTTCGTCCATTGAGATGGTTTGGACTGCGCATGCCGAGCCACTGCCCATGTCGATATGTTTTGCTTTGGGAAGTTGGATCAGGTTGGAAGAGAGTTGAAGGTGACCAAACCAAGACCGGGCACCACCTGGTAAAGTATTTTACTGTTGCCCTGGGCCGTGTGGTGTATTGTAGACTGCCTGATTGGGGTCCATGAGACAAAAGGAATCAGTGGTTGGAGACTTGGTGGTATGGCTCAGAATATATTCCAGTGGCAACGTTGCATCTTGAGATTATCTTCGTCTTGATCATTATACTGAATTCAGTATTTTCTTATTCCTATCTCCTCTAATTTACTGCTTTTGACCGGTTCTTCTCTACTTCTTTGTATTTTATCTTATTGCTTTGTTGATCAAAGGGCTGATATGGGCTGTGGCAACTTGGACCATTACATAGTAATGCATGGTCCTATGTTGATATTGAAGACAGTGACAATGTGAGTTAGAATTTTGAAAACATTTGGGTTGTACGCCATTTTTAACTATTGGTGTAAATATGTTTCACTCCAAGTTATGCTACACACTGATGGTTTTGAGTGAAAAACTTATAAAGGTAACTATGATTAGTAGTTGTTTCCTTAATGTGGAATGAAATGATGGTGTCTTTGACGATTTCACAGTATTCGTTGACAGGTGTAATTAAAGGTTAGGGGAACAATTTTCACTTTCATTTCTTTAGTATATGTGGAAGTGTTAAGTTAAGAAACTATTAAAAAATTGGAAAGATATGTTAAACCTTAACAATTCTCTTATATCTTATAGCGTACATCGACGTGAAATTACTGTGGAAATCAGTTGTGAAGGCTTTTTTCGGACAGGTATACGACCGGATATTCCGCAGTATGCACTGAACTTGGTCTCGTTAGTAGCCCATTTACGTTTTCATAAATCGCTAGAAAGTCTAGAGAACCGTTTGGGATATACATTTAAAGATAAATCTCTGCTTCATGTAAGTTTTTTAATATTTTATTTTCATTTTGTTTAGATATTTACTGATTTGCTGTTCCAAACCAGTTGATTGGAGATTTGCAAACTTTCAGGTGGTTTTCACCTCAGTTTAATATTAAATGAAGTCTCGCTGATGTTCATTAAATATTGAAGGTCTTTTTCAGTAGTCTTTAAACTATAGGACTGGAAGTTCAGTTAGTCCTAAAAGTAGCTTCGGAAATGTAACCACATATTTTTGTTACTTCCTTCATTTTTCTCCCAAGTTGGGATAGTGCTGTCAAAGATGAATTCTATCATAACTAAGTTCCGTCTCATTCGGTAAACAAATTGCGCTAAGTCTTAGTGTTTTTAAAATAAGAATGAAACTCAGTAACAAGGTGCGGGTTTAAAAAAGCTATGCTTTGATCAACCTCATTTTTTTGACATTCAGTGAAACGTATGATGCTGTTTATAGTTAGATAAAGGTTAAAAACATCAGCCTATAAAACCTTGATTCGTTCTAAAACGTATCTGCTTACTGAGAAGAGAAAGAGAGACTTCGGAGTATGAATTAGTAACTGTCCAGTAACTACCGATTAAGTAGTGATTGTCTATAAACTAGACATACTCATTCCGAATCAAATTGGTTATATAACTTCGTAAATCATTTATTTTACTTGTGGGTACCATTAGTGCTACCCACTTCATTCCCACAAACTGGTCTTAAACACGAAATCAGTAGTTAACTTGGCTCTTTAATTTTCGTTTTATCCATAAAGAAAAATTATAGTTTTTTTTCACTTAGTAGTCTCTCATTTTAAGGGTAGATCGATCCCTTAAACATGTCATCATCAATGGTAAAACAATTCACATCTAGGGAACAAAAAGGCATTTTCATTAAGTGAATACACTAACCAACTGCCTGTGACAACTTTGCCGTTTGTAGTATTAATGTATCGATTCAACTTTTTCGAAATACTATTATCCTTGGGGGATTATATAAATTATAGGAAAAAACTTAAAAAATCAGCAAAGCAGAACGAAATCTTTAATCGTAATGTGTTGATGCATTTGAGGTCTACCATTGTTGATTTCTGTTATCTCAAGCACACTATTCAAAAAATCGTAGAATACTAATTTCAAATACCACCACTCTTGGTTTTTTTTGCTTCTCTTTCACTATGAGTTCATTTATTCGATGCAAGAGCATATGTAGCTGTGGAAATACACCAGCTGTTGACTGCTTGTCATTTTTGTGTTGCTATCCATCCTTAATAAACATTCACATAACATTGGCATACTAAAGATCAATGTAATAATCAAATGGATCTTGCATTGTATATTAAATAATGTGTTTTACTGAATGATAAATGGAGTTTCTGTTTTCAATGTAAATCCTGCATATACGTACTAATGTAGAGTTTATGTTTAAATATTCGGTTGCCTATTTGAATCATCAGCTTACTTTACTATCCCATTGTTCTCCCCTGCTTGTTTCTATAGCAATCTCTTACTCATCCCTCGTATCGACGAACAAATTTTGGTACAAATCAAGATCATTTTCAGAATTCTTTAGTCAGCTGTGGTCCACGTATTTTAGAGTATGGTGATAAGCTAGAATTGTATAAAGCTTGGCGTAAAAAAGGTTTAACAAAAATGATACAAGTTATGTCATTCTTACCAAAGATGCACGAAGAACGATCAAATATTTATGGAAATGAACGATTGGAATTTCTAGGCGATGCAATTGTTGAAGTTATCTCTAGGTGATGATCCATTGAAATATTTGTTCATAGTTCTTTTAATTATTTAGTGAGATTATTTATCTGAATCGTAGAAATGTACTCATAGCATTACTTTTATGTCTTAGTTACATCTGCTTTTAATGTTTAGTCCTATCTGGTTTAAATCGATAGTTTCATTACTCTTTGAGTCTGAGTATTTCTAAGCATTGGTGTCAGTATCATTCTAGGCATACAGAAATTACTCACTGGAAGACAAAACTGCTTTATAGCATTTTTCTTTTCAACCCTTCATGAGAGTAACACTGAACTCCATAGTCCACCAGCTATATATACTTGTTATATTACCTAGTCCTTTGATTATTTATTAACTTTCTCACCCCCTTTTTAATGCACTTTATACACTTTATAAAGGATTTGAAAATCTTACTTAAACCCTTTTTGTTATCATTCAACCTTTACGTCACCAACTAGCAACGTTATAATTATCACCACCATTATTATTGTTTCAACCCCCATTATTTCAGTTAGGTTTTCCTCACGGATATATATATATATATATATATATATATATATATATATATATATATATATATATATATATATATATATATATATATATATACGAATGTACAGCTTGAGAATAAATCCGTTGAAAAGAGTCCTCTTCGCTGAATATCTTGTTCTTGATATACTTTTTTCCCTCATACTTCTTTCAGTTTATTTATTGATCTCTATTTATCTTCTTACCTTTTGACGTTTTTAGCATCCATTTATTCTTCATCTTCCCCGAATTATCTGAGGGTCATTTAGACGCCTATCGTCAGGCTATCGTTCAAAATCAACACTTGGCTGAGTTGGCTGTCGTAAGTTAGCTATATGTTGATTCATGTTACACAGCAAAGAAAGTAACCAATTTTTAATTTTTCTACTCGACTACTATTTTCAGTATCAGTATTATGTTTAATTTTATGTTTTAGTGTGATGATCCTCAGTCCTAGTGTATATTCCATATTCCATATCTTCCACATTTTTTGGGGGCTCATGTTTTTGGTCCGATTAAGATATTTTCTTCTTCCTCTTCCCATCTTGTCGGTTGTCTTCACTATTTCTAATAACTTCTTGTTGACTACGATACCCTTCCATTGATGCTCTGTCTAAACCTAGTAACTTACCCATTTAAGCTGATGCGTTATTGCCGTCTGATGCTACATCGCTTAGGAAGAAAGGTTGTCACGTATTTGCTTGTTGTTACTTGTATCCAACGTTTGTCTACCATATATCTAATAAAACTTCATTTTTACGCTCTATCAGACATGTTTATGTTGATATATGCATAGGTTTCTATTTCAAATCAGAGATTTCTCCATTCCTTTTGAAATAGAAAACTTTAGATTGTAGTGCTCACTTTATCCTCTGAACTTCTGGATTTGGTTTCTACGATTGTTGTCATCAGGTTTTTCCTTTGATATGCTACATGTTGCTCATATTGTTAGTCGACTACTTCAAGGAAATCGAGAGAGTACCAGTCTTAACGTTACTTGCAACATTCTTTTATAACAAACTTTAGATTAGTAAGATGTGAACCCCTGGTTAAACATGTTAAACTAGCCCGTCTGTGTGAAGGAAAATAGCTTGTCAACATAGAAAAAGGGATTTGTTACATATAGTCATATAAAACTGAGTGACGCGTTGGTCTCCTATGCAGCACTAACTGTGTTAATCACTGTTAATCACTGTAAACATTTGTTCTGCATAACTTTCTCCTCAAACCATACATTCATAAGTTTGTGAGTAATATAATAAAATAAACATCATGAGGCATTCTTAAATTATAGCTGAGATAGTATTATGAGTAGATGGAATTGAACTGCCTTCTTAAGTAAAAACATACTATAATTTCTTTAAGGCTTTTTTAATGTGAATATTTGCGAATAACGTTTTCTCTGCACTTTATAATGATGTTTTTGTGTGTTATCTTGTACATTTTCAGCGTTTAGGTATTCATAAATACCTGCTTTATACCCATAGTGTAGATTTTTGTTATGATTCAACATTCATTTATGCACGATCAGATGCCTTTGAAGCTCTAATGGGTGAGTTCGATGTCGTGTATATTTTAAATCTATCGATACGCATATATGTAATGCGTTGTATAATCTTCTCACTTAGCTTCCGCCTATTGTTCTGGGTGATGATTGAAAGTGAGATGAAAATCCGGATTCGAACCAACGATCGCCGGGTTACCAGCCCGGTGCTCTACCAACTGAGCTACGAGGTCCGACTGCTGACCAGAATTTTATTTCACTTATCTGAAGCTAAGGCCAGTGCGACTTATAGCCAGGTACTCAAGCATATACTCACCTACTGTTATGTGCGTTTTATAGGTAGATCTGGTTTGTTCCTCATTCACTTCAGGGGGGTTGGCAACCTTAAAGAATTGTAACAGTTATGTAGAGGTACTCGACTTCCAAATAAGTGGATCACCGGTTTACAACCCACTTCACCTTCTGAGGTTTTAACAGCTAAATGGTATCACTATCATCCACACAATAAGTGTTGCTCATTCCCTACTGCACGAAACTGCAAGTGGTTACTAAGTTCATTTCGTTTTGACTGCTAATCTCGGTAGTTTATACCACTAATTCATCCAGTAAAATACCGGTAGTCTGCAAGTCTCTGTTGTACCATACGATTATAACTCAGCCTTTTTACTGCTAATTTTTTAAAGCTCCCCTTAGATTATTCAGAACAAGAATAATTTGAGCGAACAACTGTTTTCAATAACTTTCTTCTTCAGGCTCTAAAGTTTTAAATCCATGAGAATAAGTGAAATAAAATAGCCAAAATAAGTCATGATGTACAATTTTTACCGTATTGAAACAGTCAGTGTTATGGGTGAATTGTGATCAAATCGGGTGGAATGGTGGGATTGTTATCAGTCTAGTGTATTAGTTGTGCAAGGAAATCAATATTGACAGAACAATTACGAAATGAGGAGACAAAATCTACAGATAGTGATTCTGACGGATTATACCCATTTATTCATGAACATTTATTGGGTTATGGATCTGTGTGTTTGTTTACTAAGGGTCAAATAATAATTATATAGTGATGATTTGTACTCGAGTAGGATGAAAATCATGTGAATACCATATCGGAATAGAGAATAACAAATGTGAAGTATTACGTCACGCTTGAAAATGATTACAGGTTGTGGTATAGCTTGAAGAGGAGCCTGAAGAGAATCTAATGGAAAACAATATTGTTCGCTTATATGTCTTGTTCTAATTAACATGAATAAAGAAGGATGTAAAACTAATAACAGAAGAAAATAAATGTTCATCAAAGCAATAACAATATAGAAGAATGGGTGGGGGGTTAAAACGTGCAATTTGTGGTAGGAAAGTTCATGGAGAACGTGTCAACCTTGTTGTGGGCCAAAGTAAACAAAGTGGATGTACATATTTCTCTTGAACATATAGGTCCGGTTTTATTGCATTGATCCCTATGGCTTCGGCTATGGATAAGATGCGAAGTCGTTCGATTGTAAGGGATACGGTATATCACAGAAAAGACGTGATGTACCTTAATCTGATGTTCCGGTATCTACTAGATGTGAGATGTGATGCTCTTTGTCATTCCTTTCCGTAACCAAAATGGCACATGATCACGAGCGCTCATGGATAGAGCCCTTTGTGTACGGCTTATGTAATTAGCTTCACAGGAGCAGTTGAACTTATAAATGCACATTGAAGTGGCCACCATAGGTAACCTATCCTTGGTTCGCTGTGTCAGTGATGGTTTGGTCGAGAAGCTGACGATTAAAGATTAATCAGCAGACTTTCTTCTGCTTTTGCATTAGTAGTATTATAAACCGTGCTGTTTGTGGGTAATTGGCTGGGGAAATGCCAAAATACTTAAACATGAAATTTACACTATAGTATGTGCATTTAAGGAATGTATAAAAGATAGTTCAGCCCAAAAAGGAGACTACTTTTTGTGTTAAATGGTTTTATCAAGTATGTTTCAGGATTTACCAGAAGTTATTGTCATCAACTTGTGCATTGTGTGATTTCGTTTACTCTGTTTACTTTATCATATTCATCGAACGTATTTAATTTAGGCTTTATTTCTTCTCTATGGTTAAGACTTTTGCCTGTTCAATGTCTCTGCGACGTTCTATATGAATTGGAAGTTGCAGTGACCAGACTGAAAATAGTTCGTGTAGACTGAAGATTTCTGGTTTTCTAATATATCTTTATCTTATTGATAATGTACTATATTTATACAAATTTTGTTTTGGTGTCGTACAAATAAAAGACACAATTTAGTGTTTCATTCCTGACTTATTTTTTAATCTCTGTTGTCTCAGTTCAAACCAATCACAAGTAAATAATATGGTTGGTTAACCAGCAGATGTATGCCGGTACTCTTGGTTCACAGATATATTGCAGTAGTTTGTAAAATCTATTCATGTGCTAGTTAATACTGTTGTAATGATCTGAATTACTCCGTAGCTATCTATAATTAAGAATAGACGAAGATGAGGGGACAGTAACGAATTCACTGACAAGTACGGTGAAAAGGACCCAAGTAACAGTAATATTCTGTAACAGACAGTGTGCTTAGTAGTATTTCAAGAAGTAACCATTAGGTTGATGATTTATATGATGTGATTGGTCATAAATTGGTTTCTAAGCCTAAGAATTATTGGATAGTCGATTTTCTGCAAATTGATTTTATTTACTAACACGTCTACTGAATATGCTGAATATTTAAATGATGTCATATTGTGGTGTCTTACTTGCAGTATCATGAAGGAAGTAATACATTTAATTCCCGAGTTTTGCTTTGAATTGTTTCTTAATCAATTACTTTTTTTCCCTAACTTATAATCTGTCTACCCTGGTTCAGTAGACTTGACTTTTCAGTCGGACAGCCACTGACAACTTAGAGTTGCTATCCAATTTACTATTCTTATATTTGGTCCATTAATTATTATTTTTATATGTATCATTATTACGGTCTAATTCGCAAAACTTAAGAATTTTCAGCCTAGAATATTCGACTTAACTCTATTGACTTACTTGATATTTTCATTCCCCAAATCAATTTTTTAACTTTATAGTCCACTTACTTTCTTATATTTTCTCGTTGTTGAAACAATATATTCCATATTGTAGCTGCGATTACTCTCGATGGTGGACTAGATGTTGTCAACAGAATATTTGGTGCTGTTCTTTTTGGTGATGATGAAAGAATTCATCGTGTTTGGGTACAAATCCCTCAACATCCATTACAGGCTCAATGCCCTGAAGGTGATCGATCATGGGCAACTAAAGTTCCAATGCTTAAGGTGATTTTTCTAATGTTTTTGTTTTATGCTTCCATACAATGATAAAAGTTCATTGCTGCAATTTTGGTAAACACTATGGGACCTTACATTTCCATTCTGTCTTTCTTTTTTTCCTTTTTATCAATTGACTAATGTGTTAGTTCGCTTTGAAAAAGTATTGCAATGGACATTTGTTCATGTCATGTCTATATTATCATATTCTCCTTATTGCATGCTAATTCGATCCTAATTGGTCAATTGCCTTTTGGTTTGTATTACTACCTATCCTATAATTAATCTATACAAACCTAAAGTGTAGTTTACCACCTGATCGATTTATAATGTTTCGTAATAATAAATAGTAATAACTAGAGGATTACAGGGTGGAGAAGTAAACGAAACTTTCAAGCTATCTTCTGGTTTGTGATGTTTACCCGCCAACAAACAGTTTATGCATTAAATATGCATATGTTATAGTTGGTTTGAAGAAATAATTTTTTTAAACAAAATAACGCTCAGCATACTGTTATTATGTAACCAAAGAAGATACGAAACTAACATTTGATATCGCAAGTCAGTACAAATAAGAAGGATAAGAGACAAAAAACATTGTTTATCTTGGTAAATATCATAACCAGTAAGATGCTTAGAAAGTTAAATCGACGAACACCAGTTTTTATGATACTTCTATTATTGTTTCCATATATTCATTGTTGATTTCTTTAAATAATTCTATGCTACTGTTACTAGTATATATGTTGGGTAAGTTCTTCTTATTCAATGTTTTTTGATAATCACCATGTGTGGTGAATAAATATAAATGAAATAGCTGTGCTTTTTTCCATCAACTGCCCAGATCACTTCATGAACCGAAACTACTCCTTACTTAGATTTGTCCTAGTTATTATCGCTCACTAGGTGCACAAACTTTGTGTGGAAGATTTATTGAAGGGTTTTTTGTTGACCTGTCTAACTACAGATGTGAACTTATGCGTGACTATTCTATAAATGCCATCAAATAGTTTTAGAACGTTCTACCTTTTGGCTAAAAAAATTGAAGAGATGTTGAAGGTAGTACAGCTATCTGGCCTTCTTAAAAAAGTGCAAATAAAAAGCATAGAATAAACTGTCGGTTGTGTAAATGGATGACTTTTGGTTATCACAATCAATAGCACAACCTTTCTTTCTGAGTGTTGTATGAATACGTTATTAAATGAGCGACATTTAGAAAAAATAAGGAAATTCACACAGCAACCTACTACATTTTTGTGCAGTAGGTAATGAGTCACACTCATTATATGAGGGCTAATGACTGCGCAAACCTTGGTAAGTGGAGCAGCTGGGCTTGAAACCTTGACCCATGAAATAGAAATCAAGTACTTAGAGTATTGATTTTACAACCACTGGTTTTCTAGACATCGATTACGTTAGTGTTCCATTAAAAATTGTCTGCAAGGGAATTGATGGAGCGAATTATTACAGAGTCGATTCCATTTTGTTTGTCTTTGAGAGCAATGGTTTTAAAATCTCTGAATTCCCTTACATTTTACGATTTTGTCACGGACTGTTGTTCCGGCTTCGGAGTCATTTCAAGCATATTAAGGGTTTCAGAATTTGTGTATTCTTCATACTTCATATGAATTTTTGGCAATATATTACTCAATCACCTATGCAATATGATCCTGCAGTCACTTGTTGCAGCTTTTAAAATTTCCCATCGTTTATTTTACAGGACCCATCGGCCACTTCCGACATATATACTACTGTGATATAGCTAGTAAATTTATCCTGTTAGCATTGATGATTATTGTCTAGCAGTGGAATCCAGGATGTGTACTTCATCCTGGATTTCACTACCTACCAGTTAGTTTCAAAGTGGGACGTGATATTTACTGCCTAACGACCCGTTTTTTCTACTCCTGACGTGACTACATTAAGGTGGAACGCACCAAAGTGAACAATAAAAATAAGAAAGGAAGTAGTTAAAGCGGTAGAATGTCGTTAAAAGAAAACAAGAAGGAAATTCGACTGGTTATCAAGATGATGTGTAGATGCATTTATGCCACTGCAATATATTCTGAAACATTTCACTTAGAGTCGTAATTCGCTGGATCATGTTGTCACACGGACCGCAACGGGGAAGTGTACGTTCCTCCGTAGATCGCTCAAAAGAGTCATACACCTTGAAAATCCCAACTGCACATTCCAATTTTCAACTGGAAGGTAATTCGTTGAACTCTGTTGGTTTAGGTGATCTTTTGATGATTCGAGTTTATTCTTCTTTGCAAATCAGCCTCTTTTCAGGAATCAGTAATCATGCATTATGAAGAACCATCTTTTCTCCTTCTTGTTATTTATTCTCACTTTTCAGTCTTACAACGCTTGAGCAACCGTTGATTGGGATGCACCTTAACAGTGGGGTTTTAAGTTTGATACTTAGTGTGTATTCGCTATCGACAAGGCTGAGCGTCAATACCACATAGTTTGTGAAGTGGTTGTGACACATTATACTTCTTCAGAAACTCACTAGGACTTTGATTGTAGATGTCTAGCATGGAGTATGTACCAGTCGTTAGTCTTTCTAATGTGTCAGATGAATGCACTTATTGTGCTGTGTACACTAATGAGCCAATGTTAAAGGTAATGAGCTTAAATGATATGTGAGATTACAGAATTTCTGCCGTAGCTATCACATGGAAGGAAGAGTTGGGGAAGTATATATTTCAGTGACTCAAAACTTCAAACAGGCTCAAAAGTTCATCACTACTTGCTTAGTAAGATAGTAACATGAATAAACAGTAAGTATGTAGGTGGGTATACACTTAATATATTTTGATAGTTGATTGAGAATTTACGAACATTTTTTTTACCCTCTACATAACCAGTATTGTGATGAATGAGATACTGCGCTTGCGACCTAGTCAAAGCAGGTTCTTGTTTTTGATGCGGCCACTGCAAATTTTTAACCTGTTAACTTTCAGTGCAGAAGGTAATGAGACAACATCGATTGTTGCACTCCAATTATAATGAGTAATCGTAAGATTTTCATATGCTAGTTGTTTCTGTAGTATTCTTGGTTTCATGTCGACCAGTTGTTTGGGATCGAAGCTTTCTTAATTCTTTGGAAGATTTTTCTTACTTGTTAATTTAATCATCGACAATGGACACTCACTTTTCCACTTGATATTTTTAAAAAAACGTCGACCAAATACAAATTGTTGGTAATACTTACTTGACAATATGGAAGTACGGTCTGATTTCAGAGAAAGACAGAATTTCATCCACTGCTGGTTGTATCGTTTTTGGAGAAAAAATTAAAGAGGTATTTTGTTCTAACCGGAAATCCCTCAGCTTTTAGTTGAATGTTCTGCTACTGGACTTATACCCCTTACTCATATGCCTGTTGTTTGCATTTTCTAGTTTTTGTGAACTGAGATAGTTTACATTTATTGAACATTTCAATATAAAAGTATTGGTTAAATTGAACAGGAATAAGACAGAAAAGAGCGCAAAAGAAATGAGATAAATCAAGAAATGATGTTTAAACCTATCAAGTTGCTGCTATGTGTTGGAAATAATAATACACCGGTTTCTGTTTTCAAGCAAACGAAGAAACTAAAATCGACATACAGAATAAGTTAGTATTTCTTGCAGAACACCTTTCATGGTGAAATGAAGTCATCTAAAATTATACTGAAAATCAGGAACCATTGAACAGTTGGTTCGAATTAGTTTATGGTTTCTCAACACATATCTTCGTTTATAAAAAATGTATAACTTAGAGCCTCTAATTCTTGTAATCGACATGAACTTAACAAAGATACATACGCCTGGTGTAATGAAGCATTGCAATGCGATTAAACATAATGAATAATTGTCTTGGAGTCAGCCAGATCCTTAGTAAGCTTCAACAATCATTTTTTTTATTGTTCTAAACCCTAATAGCTGATTCATAACTGTCGGCAGTCTCAAAAAATTGTCTTTGATCTCTTTTTCTGAACTCACTGACGCTTGAAGCTCAAGTCAACACTGAACGTAGAATATTCGATGAATAAGCATAACTGTGGTATATATAAATTTTTTCAATCTATTTCAAAGTATTTTGAAAGAGTTTTCAACTGAGTTTGATGAAGATGCAGGCAGTTCTTTTTTTTAATGCATAGATATTATGGCATGCCAACAATGTATTCTTGACAAATCAAATCATTTCTAACTAAAAAGCACAAATTAAGGCGAAATGAAGGTAATTTAGTGATAATTTACTTCTCAACTCCTAAAATGACTGATCTAAATGTAACCTTCTGTTTTAATGTCAACCACTTAAACCGAATCTAAAAATAATCTTCATTTGCGAAACTACTAAAACCCACTCAATAAATACGCTGAAAGTATTCGAAGGACTGCTCTATTTTCCCTTGTTTGAACATTTATGTGATCAACTAACGATGTTGTAAGTTTGGCCGCATTTAGTATCACTTAGGTCTGTGCCAGATGTTTCATTGGATAGGGGAAACTAACGACCATCCTTTTTATTCTCCAAACTACACCAGTTTGTCCATTGGTGCCATGGAGTGATTAAGTTAGCCGTTGTAAACCAAACAGAAGTACAATCTGTTATGATGTAGATTTACTTGGGATAGTGATGGACTTTAACGAATATTAAGGAATGGCGTATGAATATTCTGTTATTTATTAAACTTGTATATGGTTTCACTGAACTAATTAGGTTTCCAGTGAACTGTTTAAATCAATGGGCTAGAGTGTTTTATTGCCCTATGCCACCAGTGATCAACGTGTTTTCTTGATTCTTTCATTGCCAGCGAGAATGTAGTGTTATATATATATATATATATATATATATATATATATATATATATATATATATATATATATATCTGTAAGTTTGTATATTTTATTTGTACTACTTATTTTTAGAAATTATGTACACTAGAAGATACTCTGGGAATTAAATTTCAGCATCTGCGTGTACTAGCTCGTGCTATGACTATCCGGAAGACAGGTTTCAATTTCTATACATTGTAAGTTTTATTCAGCTCGTATAAATTCCCTTTATTTTCGTAGGCATGATTACTTTTTTACTAAGTTTCATAAAATATCATATATTAAGTATTTATTAAACTTTAGGACTGAAATTCTAGCTAGAGAAATTGTATGTTTGAACTTTGCTTTACCTACCAAGATTTGCTTCAATAGTAGTATTATTGGTTCACAGTTCGTTTTTCTACGTAGTACAGTACACAAAATGATCCTCGCTTTTGTTGAATTGCATTCATTCACTACACACATGTAAAGTTCTGAAACTCAAAGAAGCTATTTTTCCTTGCTGCTTTAAATATTTTATGGATATAATGACTAATTACTGGGAAAAGGTGTAGTTATCCATTATCATGGTTACAAATTCACAAGTGGATATCAATTTAAGAAAACATTGGAAATAAGCGATTGTTAAGTCTTCTTTCTATAGTGTACGCTTTCGATAGATCTAAGTTTTATCTGCATTTTTATGAACAAATGTAATTACTTCTGAATATTGCTGTATTGGATGGCACCTTTGAACAGTAATGCTAACGTTTTTATAAAAAGTGACCAATATACATGCAGAAAAATTGATGTCCTCTTGAAATATTATTCATTTTTGTTATTTGAAACATAAAATTTTGTGATTTATGTTTGGGCTTATATTTTGTTTTTAAACTATGATATCCTAGACATCTGTTTATTTAAAATCTAAAGTTGGTACAGCATAAACACCATGGAATGCAAACCGGTGATTTCTCTAAAATTTACTAGGTGATGAACGAAAAAAACTGAGTGGTGTAAAGAATACTGACATAATGGCTCATTGATCTGAGCTTTTAACTGCTAATCATTGGATTTTAGTTAAGAATATTGCTATACCTTCTTCAGCCTAGAAAACAGGGTGGTATCACGAGCCTCTACTCCTCAAATAATGCGTATAACTTGTGTCAAGTTACTGAGTTGTGCTATCTAATTATTAGTAATCCTGTAGAACTTGTTACCGATCATTAACATTCATTAGGTACTGTTGAGTATATAAACGATTTATCTGTGTAGATGATCATTTTTAATGCTTTTGTTGAAAGCAACTAGTCATGATGAGTACATTTTATAGTGTATTTAATGTGATTTAGTCGATAAAACAACTTTTCAGTTAGTCACTTGATTCAATTGTTCGACAACAACCGTAGTTCTTGATGTATTTGACTGCTATTTACTTTATTTGGTACTTAAACTAAGTTGGAAGTGGATTGAGAAAAGCATTCATTTATCAATGTGGATGTGTTTAGCATCGCATTCATAAACTAGAATCATGTTTTTGAAGTTCCCTAATATCACAATCAGATACAATATCCTTCCGAGCTAATTATATTGCAGTTGTGGTGAATCGCTTGCTCATGATGCATAACGTTGCTCATTTTATGCCTATATTTTATGCAAGCTAGAATGTCATGATCCCTGAGTTTATAATCCATTTAGTGAGAATAGAGATGTATGCATAAGGAGATTCAAAAGTTTAATGTTTCCATGGTGTATACGTTGTTATAGATCTTACATTTATGCATACCTGTAATTCGCTGAGCTATTTTCCTTTTCCATGATTATTTAAACTATTTGTTTCTACTGTCGTCTATAGTTACGTTTCATTTAATTCAAACCAACAAAATGTGTTTATCTTTCAGAGGTGATAATCAACGTCTAGAATTTCTTGGTGATTCCCTGTTGAAATATGTTTCAACTGACTACTTATTTCGTCACTTTCCTAGACATCATGAAGGACATTTATCGTTGTTAAAAAATTCTCTCGTTAACAAGTACACACAAGCTTCTGTTTGCAGTGAATTAGGCTTAGAGAACTATGTTATACGCCGTGAAGATAACAGTATGAACCGATCACAGAGTAAAAGTAGTCATAACAATGGGGAGTCGAATTCAAGTTTTTTCAAAGGCAAACGAAATAAGAAAGGTCAGAAGCTGTCAAACCATCCAGTTGGAAACATTAGTAATACTTTTAATCCACAGAATCAAAATGTTAAATATCGAGCTGACTTGCTAGAAGGTAAGTGCATTATTATTATCGTTTGTCTCTAAGTAATAAGGGCATCCTGGAAATGTGACTCGTTAGCAGGTTCCAATTCTGCTTCCTCCTGCCTTGACCTGAACTTCTGGGTAGTAATACTGGATGCCTTCATACAATGAGTGTAACTCGTAGTTTAGTGCATACACTTCTACTGGGTTGAGATAAATACATCACGAGTACACAAAGATATTCTGATCAGTTTACTAAGGTGGTGGGAATGAAATAGTTGACATTTAGGTAATTGCATTAGTTGGTTAACAGTAATATAAACCATGAAGGTTTATGTAGGCTGAGTTACGTAAACTATCAACCATTGAGCCACTAACTGAACCCACTCCAATAAATTCTATGTGAATAATCATCCAGCTGTATAAACTTCCAATTCATAAAACCTAAAATGATGGTATACATTGTTTCAGCAACAGGATGAACAAGTTCAATAAAACATTGACATGAACTTGAAGGATAACATGAAAATGTAAATAAAAAAATAGGAATTTTGAAATAATAACAAATGATAATTTTGCCCTGTTTCATATATGTTTTTAAACTAATGATTTCATCTGTTTCTGAAACGTGACCTAGTGATTGTCCAGTCCTCCGTGAATCTAAGACAATATTAGTGAATTCATCGTTGAGCAACACATTTATAAATGATTATGAATCGAAACATATTCACAGTTTTATAAATTGATTTATTTCATGCATAAAATGACACATCTATTCGTGACATTACATGGTCACGAGTGATGATACTTTGAGGACACCTGTGATTAAATGAATGTAACCTGTATTTCGCGGCTTTTTAATAATCGTATCCTTCAACCACGTGACTGAACAGAGTACACTAGTAAAATATTATTAGCCATGGATAATACGTCAAAAACGAAATATAGGAGTAAAACTTGGGCACTGTTATAGGATGTAATTCCATATTAGATTTGTTTATCTGATATAGCACACATTGGTACATTGTTATTTACTGGATGGTGTTTCGGACGCGAACTATTCCCTATAATCATATCTAGGTTGTCACACAACCTCCTATTTCTGGGTTTTACAGTTCTACTAACTAGTATTCTTTTTTTTAGCGGCAGTAGAATCTTCCTTATCTTCTGAATACATGTTGCATCATTCCTATTGCATACGTTGGGTATTGGTTCAATGGGGAAAGATTTGGTTTCCCTTTCCATCTAGCTAAATTGACCTTTAGTACAGTTACCTTGTCACACCCTGTTGGATGATAGTGCACCACCGTATGTATTTTAGTAACTGAGTTGTTTTCTAGATTGTTGTTCTCAGTAGGGTATATCATTCTAATTTTGGCAAGCTTCTACTCTCCTTTATAGTAATTCATCTTGATCGACTGGTTTGACCTGCGCATTAGACTCCCTAGTGCATGGCATTTAGTCGGTCAAGTTATTTTGTCCAATTGGGTCGACAAATTGTATATCTGAATTTCTTCATAGGTTTAAATGCCACTTTAATTGCTACTTTTGAAAATTCCATGCGAAGTTTCTGATGTTGTTTCCTTGTATGTTAACATAGAAGAAGCCTTAGACTCCTTTTTAGTTGTTTTGAAGTTACTTTCCACAGTACGAATACTTTTTGATATGATCGTGCGAATTTCTGAATAAACTCCGAAGGATAATGGTTTCTTTTATGTGTTATTTTTTATTCAGGTCCTTTGATTCACTAGTGAGCTTTCTAGCTGTATTACTTAAACACTTCACCAAACTGATGGTGGATGAGATGACCTGAAGTTTAGATACCTATTAGAAAGTGTTGGTCTTCTATTAAGTCTAATGTCTAAATCACTATCTGTTCCTGTTTTGATTATCCAATCCACCACATCTAATTCCCCTTGCTATTTTCTCACTCGTAATAGATTAGTGGATTAAACCTACAACTGATTTTATATCTAGGAGAAATCTATCGATTTTATCATTTCAATATGATGAATATCTTATTGATATACCTTCATCATCCTTAGAGCCGTTTTCCCAACCACAATTGAACGTACACGTTCAGTGCGCAATCTGATCATTTTCATTTATTGAAAGAAAATCTTTGACTTATTTTTCTCATTTTTAAAAATCACTTTGAATTAATCTACTGTTAAGATTTCTTTCTTTCTTTGACTGGAAACTTATTTGATTATGAAACGTTTATGTACCGAAGAAAGACTTCAATGAACAAAATTGGTTTCAGTGTATTCATTCTGAAACATTGTGTAACTGCATTATTGCCAGAATTAAGTTTCTCACATCATTTACAGTCTAGTTTCAATAGAAAATTCTTTGGCGGAAAGGACGGAGTCACAATAGAGTCCTCCAGAAGGCTCTCTCCTGGTGAGTATTTTTATGTTTGGATCGGAAACAAGTATACTTGATCAAATTATGAAGCAATCGAAATCCTACAGAAGATATATTGACGATACACTCTCCGCCTATGATAGAAACCTAAATCTATGTTATTTTATTCGATTTCACTTTGACGATGAAAATGTAGTCTCACTCTAAGATAAAATCATTTGGCATCTTGTCAATAGGAAAAGAAAATGGACCACTTCAAAGGTTTATTTATTTAAAGTATAAATAGAATGAACAAATAGCTGTTTTTCATAGCTTTGCTCTTACCATCTAGAAAAATTCTAGGTGATTTTTACACTTTACATATTAGAGAGAAAAACTAATCTTTTCTAAAGTCCGCAGTCATCGAAAATATATCCATAAAAAGATTTAATGATCAAAACCACCATCAGAAAACTGACCGTCAAAAATCTATCGTTACAGACAAAAAGGTACCACTTAGTAGTTTGGAATTGAACAGTGATATGTTAAATGAGGTTCCAGTGTACAGACTGATGTAACCTGTTAATGATAATAGTCTCTCAATGGCAAACATATGTGAAAATGATAATTCACCTGCTTCTGTGAACTTAGGTACACAGATTGTGCCTAGACGCAGATTATCCAACCCATACCTTCCAACATGATTTAATCTACATGAATAGATGAATCAGTCAGACTAAAAGTGACGTATCCAATTGTCTTCCTTAATTAGTTCTCTTAAGATCACAACTTGTCAGCCTAACTCCTTTTACTCTTGTTCACATAAATTTTCTAACCTTACATACTTATTACTTTTTTTTTACTTTCCTCACTGGCAGCTATTTATTCAGTTTGTTATATGCTCCTAGTTCTACCCAGCCTTTGTTTAACCACAGTTCTTTATTCACTCTATCAAACATTTTTATACTTTGTGACTAAAAGCAACCAACCAGCAAAGAATTGAAAATTCGCATATCATATAAACATTCCTGGTCATTTGATTAATATGAGCATTAAGTATGTTGGGATGTAAGTGATTCTTTAACGTTTGACAGTAAATCCACTGGAAACAAATTTGTTCACTCCAATCTTTCTTCTGTGGTCCAATAGATGCATTCAAACGTTTGTAGTCTATCATAGCTAAAAACATATAGTGATGTTGACAACACAATCAGACAAAATCAACGTGAAACTTGGTACAGAGGTGCATCAGTTCAAGTTGTAACATTCCATAGCAAGATGCAAAGAAGTGGATTGAAAATGAATGAGATTAAAGAGAATAAAGTTGTAGGAGAGGAGAGGGAATAAATAGATGAATGTTAATATAAATATTAAAAACTTCAGACACGATAAGAAATGTATATATCTGCGCCTTTGTGACTGATTCAGAGCCAGGGCAGTCAGTTTACACAACACTACATGTCTACCACCAACCATCGGACTTCGTTAACTGACGCCGTGTCATGTTCTAATCACTCTGAGCCTTCTTTCACCCCAATTCAACTCAAGTTAACGTCGCACTTCAGGCAGGGTAATTGGTGCTTTGACATATGTAGCACGTGTGTGAACCACTCCAGTCGTTAAAGGTTCACAGCTCCATCGACTTACTTAAGTTCTTTGCCTAGTATCCTTTACTTAACTTTGACATTGCTCACATGGTGATTTCACCATAGGTAAGCAGTACTATGAAGACACCTGTCGTCCAAAACCTTCACTCTTTTCATATATTTTACTCACTGGGACCATGTCTCACAACCGTATACTAGAAAACAGTGAAATACTACATGTGTACTTGTTCTTTGATATGTAGTCAAATATACTGCAGACACTATAAATAGCATAAGTCGACAGATGCATATGGAGCCTTTTGAATCTGAGCTGATATTCCTACCTTGGTTTTGGAGTTAAAGTTATGGCGTTAAGTACCATCCTGATATCCACTTAAAGTAGTCATCAAGATATTAAATTATTGACTGACCGATTGAAGATATTGTTCAGGTTATCGTGATTGAGTGCTCCTGGTGCCGTTCACAAGGATTGATATCATTGAAGTGAATGTCCTTTGATTTTAAGAGTAGTGATAATGTTTACCTGATATAATCCAACTTCCTGAAGTGGAGTGGAAGCATCTTCTTCATGACATACCAGTACATCATGCTACCAATTTGTCAAACGCCTTCAGTGGCATATTTTTGGAAATTGGAACTAGTTATTTATACCAACGCATTCAGTTTACCCTTAGTTTTGCCTCTTCTGCCTTTGTTCTGATTGATTTTTAGTCGCTGTGTTTTTTACTTGTAGAAAAAGTAAAGAGCTACTGTGAATTTCTGCTTATCCCATTTTGATCTGATTCGTTGAATACATGCAGTTGACTATAGTGGTAACATTGTTGTTGAGTATATGCTATAATGTCCAATTTTTTCTTCTCTCACCTTATTATCTAGCTTTTATTGGTGCATTGTTTGTCGATAAAGATTTGACATGGGTGGAAAGATTTTGTCAAATCTGTTTTTGGCCACGTCTAGTAGAATTTATTCTTAAACAAGAATGGAATGATGCGAAGTCGAAATTGCAGCAGTGTTGTCTTACATTTCGTTCATTGAATGAAGATCCTGAAATTGCACACTATAAAGTTAGTCGACTTGTTGAAATTTACATGCAAATGTTTTAGCTAATCAGATTGTAAAGATGATTGATTTTGAAGAAGAATCCAATTTTTTTTTTCACACAGATCCGAACCAGCATTTTAAGGAATGTTGGTATAATCTTCGCTTGACTAAATTACTCAGAGACTTAGCTAAAAAGTTTTTTCTTGTTATGGAACATAGTTATGCTTTTCGCTCACATCACATTTAGGTTAGATATACTGACTAAGTGAATTAAAGCTGAGTAGATGTAAGATGTTTGATTGGTGTAACCTAAAGTTTAGAAGCTGTAAGAAATTTTACTAAGATTCATCGTATAAGGTGTATTTTTACTGGCGTAATCCCGGCGTAGCATATTACAGCAAATAACAAAATAAACAAATATTTTGTGTTATTCCTCAGCGTTTCGATCTTGCTAGAAAGATCCTTTTCAAGAGTATAAATCTGACATTAAGTTTTCAGGTTAATATTCAAGTGACCTTTAAGATCATCGAATTACATCGTGATATGGAACCAAGATCAATGTAATACAGGTGAGTGAATGAGTAAATCGACCAGATGGAAAAGTACAGTGGCGTTGTGAGTTACCAAGACTGAGAAAGGATAGATTACTGGTATGGGAACATAAATATTTGAACATCAAACACCCTATTTTTGTTCCACCTTACTTGGACAACTGAAAAAAGTCCCTCTGGTCGATTTACTCATTCACTCACCTGTATTACATTGATCTTGGTTCCATATCACGATGTAATTCGATGATCTTAAAGGTCACTTGAATATTAACCTGAAAACTTAATGTCAGATTTATACTCTTGAAAGGGATCTTTCTAGCAAGATCGAAACGCTGAGGAATAACACAAAATATTTGTTTATTTTGTTATTTGCTGTAATATGCTACGCCGGGATTACGCCAGTAAAAATACACATACGATGAATCATACTAACTCGGTGCTCAAGTCTTTTCAAGCCATCTAGTCCATTATTGGTCAGGATATCTTCAGATTTTAGTAACTTCTCATTCTCTGAAACTTGTCTGTGACCAAGGTTTTCTATCGACTTCGCTTATTATTTCTTTAAAATGAAATTTCAAATTTTACTGAAACATTTTCTCAAAAACAAGGTTGTGCATAGGGATATTTTTTTCAGTTAAAGTTAATGTTGAAACTGAATTAGGCGAAAAACTACACGCAATGTATGATAAATTCTTCTGAAATTTCTTCAGTTAAATACGCTTGGGTAGTGTTTCATTGCTGTTGTGTGATTTTGTAAAAATAGTATACTTCTTGAGTTGTATAGTACCTTTAAGTGAAGCCAGGTGTCATAATAAGTCACCCACTTATGAGCCAAAAGCTTCTAACTTCAAAATTGATCTATGTGTTATCTAAGAGTGAGCAAGCATTTTTCAACGTCATTTGGAGGATATAACAACATTGTATGAATTTATCCCTGAAAGTTGAAAGCACGAAAATTGGGGTTAAACCCACATAGTCTACATTTAGGAGCTGACAACCTTTAACATTAGTGATTTACGTACTCTCCGTCGTACTGAATCACTCAATTACTCATGAATTTGTTCCGGTTACCGTGAGTCCACAGATTAACGAATATTCACATCTCGTATGTTATCATTCAGTAGCTCCGGTAGAGAGGTGTTGCTTCTTCTCGGAGACCTAAAACAGAATAAACAAGTGGGAACCAGATTTCTAATGTCACTTCCTGGTTTCTACATAAGTCTCATGGTGAAATTGTGGGTTTCATAGGAGTCGTAAATTCATTCTTCATACCAAATATCATCGACCTTTAAGCACTATTAAATGAATTCCAACTGATTCTCACCAGTTAACTAACTGAGTAAATTTGGGTACTTATCTCATCGTTGATACTATACTAGTCGTTTGATTAGTTCGAACTACTAGAACATGATACAGGTCTACGTGATTTGTGAGAGATAACTCGAAGTATATGAGCCGTTTGTGTCTAATTCATTGACTTTATCAAGAACGAAAATGCACATTTACATATTTTCCCACTCTATCATTATCTTTAGGTTTTAGAACATAGTGGTCCAACTAATCAACGTGTTTATCGTGTTGGTGTTTATTTCCGTGGTCAGTGCTTAGCAACTGGTCAAGGCAGATCTGTGCAACAAGCACAAATGGAAGCAGCTAAAAAAGCTTTAGAACTACATCAAGGTGAGGTCAATATACTTAAAGATGTTTATAATCTGATATATTAATTACTTTAATGGAGGGATATTCTCTAAATCAAACATTCGAATGACTTACTAATCATCATTTCCAATGCAAATAAGGCCAAATTGAAAATCTAAACAGCGTAATAAGAAGACGAAGATTATCTGAAACATGTGATGTATTAGCACTGTACATTTTGAACAATCTGACCTGTCGAACTGTTTATATGAAAGTTTACGATAAGGGTCAATGAAGTCAATAAAAAAAATAGGAATAGGAAGGGCAGAGAAAAAACGAAATTTTAATCACATTACTCTTGGTATAAAAACTAAAGTCAATACAACCAAAGTAGGTTAAACGTGAGTACAAATTGTTTTTGTATACATAAAGGGGGTTTGAATTTACGGATGGCAAGAGCTTCAATGAATGTAAGCACTCGGTCTTGATCTATTTTATGTAGTATTTTAAAAGATTTTTTCATGTCTACCCTGTGGTTAGTTTCTAGTATATATTTAGCGATAGACGAAGATGGACTTTTGTCACCTGTAGTTATTGATTTCATTGAACCTTTTCGTAAACTTTCACTTAAATATATTAATGATGAATAGTGACTAGCAGTGGGATCCAGGATACGCATTTCATCCTATTTGGGATGTACTTGCTTCCCAGTGAGCGATGTCCCCACCGGGACTCGAACTCGGGAGGGACCGCTTCAAACGCCAGAGCGTTATCCACTACACCACCGGGCCACGACAGCCACTCCTTGTGCGACGGACATGGTTTTAGTATAATTGTTTGTGTTATACCGTCATTGATTGGACCAAATTGATCGGTCTCTATTTGCATATGGGCTCCTGCGTGGATGCGTCGATATTACCTGTGTTTTTATTATAGTAGTGATGGATAGTGGCCAACAGTGGAGTCCAGGATGGGCATTTCGTCCTATTTGGGACTCGTCAGCTGACGATTACGTCAAGCATGTTAAAGATACCAAGGAATATCACAGGAGGGAGATTTCAGCGAAACAGATTAAAACTGCTTATAGCCTTTCTAGAAAATTCATAGCTAGAAAGAATGATTGTAATGCGTTCATTCTATAACACTTAGATGTCCTAGCATATAAATTATTATAAGCAATATGTAGCATTAGACCTAGAAGAAAGTTACTCTATATTTTCATAACCAATGTTGGTAAGTGTTTTGCAGAAGGTAAAAGAAGATTAGTACTACAATATAATTACGTAATAGTATCAGAATGATCGAGGTCAAAATGAGAATGGAGTGAAGTTGAAAGATTTTGAAACCATAGTGTTGAAACTGATAAGGATAATACAACCAGTAAAAAAAAGATGATTAGAAATAGCAGAGGTGTAAAAAAATATCTTTAAAACACTATGAAAGCAATAAATGAGTAGTGACCATCCCCTTTTCGATGTATAAATGGGTTGCTGATTTTTCTTATTGTACCAAGTTCCGCAAATCTATGATGAAGCGAAGTTTATCTCTTGTTTAAAATTGATGAAAGTAGAAAAGATAGTGCATCGATATTATTTGGTGAAGTTCAAAATGAACTTTACATCTTATTTTTAACTCATCATTTAAATGCATATAGTGATGTTTTCACTGAAACTAGTTGGAGACAGATAGACAAAAGCAAACGTAGAACGTTGCATACAAGTACATCAGTTCAATTTGCCACACTATCATTATTATTATTTTTTGTCGCTTGGGTTCCTAGTGGAACATAGGGTTTCAGTAGCACGTCTCCATTCCACTCTCTTCTCTACAGTCTTTTCCACCTAGCCCCAAGAATGCTCACAAACTTTATTTCTTCCTTACATGATCTCCATGTCACCCTCGGATGCCCAGCTCATCGTTTCCCCTTGGATTCCACTCGACGACCTAGTCCGGTGCATGATGTCCCCAAACCGTCTCCTCAGTGTATGCCCGGTCCATCTCCACTTTCTTCTGCATATTCGTTGGATGACGATAAGTTGTTGGTTGGTTTGTTGCCAGCCAGAGTTAGTTCCTTGTTGCTTATTCTTATTATTCTGATCATCTGATCTTCAGTATCGAGTGGGCGTAGGCGGCTGTTGATGAATGTCTGTAGTTTGTTGGAAGTGCTTTATGTAACGTGCCAAGTTTCTAAACCATCGCATAGAAGCACTGACTTCATATTAGTGTTGAAAATCCGGATCTTGTTCACGTTTTATGCTGAGTGGAGTTCAATGCAGTAGATCTCCACACTGATTTCAGGTTAATGCAAGAAGGTCTGTCTTGCTGTCTTCCCAATCCTGGCTTTGACGTCCTCATCTGTGCCTGTGCCGCCTGTATTTGAAACGATGCTGCCTTGCCTGAGTAGGTGAAAGATACTGCTTCCTTTAGGTTCCTCCCGTTAATGGTGATTGGTGCTTGTTGTTCATGCTGTTGTTGGTTGGGTATCTTCATCACCTCCGTTTTCTCTACGTTCACTTGAAGGAAGTCCTGTCTTCGCTACTTCTATCAACTTGTTAGTTTTCGCCTGTAGATCTTCGAATTTGTACGACATTAGGAAATGCATCGGCGAAATCCAAATGTTCTAGGGTCTCTTCATCCAGCCAGCGTATCCCCACCTTCTCTCTCACAGTTTGTTGCATGACCCAGTCCAGTTGTTCACAATCAGGAAGATCATCGATGATAGTAGGCAACCTTGTCTTAATCCTTCCTGTCTTCAATTTGAAGGCATCACTGAGCTTTTCATTGTGAATCAGTTGGCATGCAGCGTCGTCATATAGTTGTTGATTGAGGTTGATAAAGGTTTGTGGTATTCTGTAGTGTTGAAGCAACTGCCAAAATACTTCTCAGTCGACGCTGTCGAAGGCTTTTTCAAAGTCGATTAAGTTGAGGTAGAGAGTTGACTGCCATTCTATACTCTGTTCTATGATGATGCGCAGCACATCGTAGCGTTGCAATTTGATCCGCACTTGAGTTGTGCTTCTTGAATCTAGCTAGCCTTTTCCGGTCGTAATTTTGAATCCAGTAATTTTTTCAGTCTCTCCAGAGTGATGCAGTGTAATATTTTGCTTGCTTGGGGTGGAAAGGAGCATGATTCTGCACCAGTTCTTGCAAAGACGTAGGTCTCCCTTCTTTAGGAGTTTGACAAGTTAGCCCTCCTCTCAATCAGCAAGTACCTTTCCTTCCTACTAAGTCTTCTGCAATAGTGGTGTGAGCATGTCCGCTGATGTCTCTGCGTCTGTTTTCAGTACCTCTGGAGGAATCCCATCTGGTCCTGCTGCTTTCTCGTATTTCAGCAACTTTATGGCGCTCAGGACTTCACTTCTGCTTTTGTCGGAGGGCTTGTGTTCACTGATAGTTCTATGGCTGGGCTGCTGGTGGTATTTCTGGACCAGTTGCAAGAGAATTCTGAAGTGGTCAGCCCATCGTTTCCTTTGTTTCTCCTCTTTGGTAACTAGGTTCCCTTCACTAACTTTCAATTGTCTCTTCTGTATTGATCTCTTCCCTTCCAGATAGTAACCTGGTTATTTGATATAGCGTTGTCAGGTCTCTGTTTCTCCTACCTACAGCCTGTTCTGCTTCACTTGCCAATGTGTCGTAGGAGTGTCTTTTATCCTTGCGTGCACTCTCCTTCACTTCTTTGTCCAGTGTAGTGTTTCATAGGTTGTGTTCAGTTCCTCTTTTCGTTGTTCATCCCTGCATTGCACTGGTTCATCCTCTTTTTCACCATCTTCCTCTCCCTGCTCTATCAGTTTCCATGTGTCCGTCTAGATCCATTCCTTGTCTTCTTTCTTCTTCCTTCCTAATACGGTTATTCAGGTTTCCTTCCATGTCGCTTTCAAAGAGTTCCAGTGTTCTACCACGCAGGATTCCTCCTCGGAGATGTCCCTAATGTCTCTCACTTTGTCCTGATGACTGACGACGTCAAGATATCCTTTGTAGTTTCGTCCTTCAGTTTCTCTTCTGGGTGTTCGACTTGAACCGTGGTCTATCATCAACTACTTTGAAGGCTTTCAACTTGATTTCGAAGGTAGGCTCCTTGCAATAGACAGTGAGTAGTGTCAACCTAAATCTACTCCCCTTCTTCATCTGAGCTTGTATCCTGTAGGCTGACTCGGTCTCCACTTTGTCGGATTGAAATGAAGTCGATCTGGTGAAATTCATGTCACTCTGTGAATATCCTTGTGTTTGTACACACTGCCTCCAGTCACCAAATCGTTGAATGCGCAGAAACCTCCAAACACTTCTCCATTCTCATTCATTTCACAGAATGCCTCTCGACCCATGATGAGTTCTCTTCCTGTGTTGTCCACTCCCAGTTTGACATTCACTTCACCCCACCCATTAGAATGGATTCTGATGTCACCTACTGGGGTGGGGTCTTGTCCAGTACTGATTGCAGTTGTCTATAGAATTCCTCCTTCTTCTCTTCATCTGCATTATTTGTAGGTGCGTGGTGTAGCACTGTATGATTGTGACTTTCCTCCCTTTTGAGTTGAATCCATTTTGTTGTTATGATCCTGGAGGAGGAGATTGGTTCCCACTGCATGAGAGAGAGAGAGAGAGAGTCTTCGATGCTCTTTGGGACATCATGATAGTCACTCGAAAACTCAGTGTGCTCGTGGTTGTCATGTGGGTGACAATATAGGAGTAGATTATTGACTCCTCTCCAGTTAACGGTTTGGAGAGTCCACTTCCATTCTATCAACAGATTCCTCACAGGTTCCTGGCACTTCTATTCTATACCTTCTCATCTCTTTTGCAATCTGGGTAGCCTTGCGAGGTTCAAACATTGTGCGAATATTCTGTATCCCTACCCTATGCTGACTTTCGCTTTCATCGAGAGCGAGAAGACACATCGGCCAATATGCTTCCCGATAGCTGTCACCAACTGGGGTCATTTCATCTCTACGATTCCAGCGAGGAATAATTTTTTTTATGTTTCATATTTTCTTAGTGCTCTGAAGTTTCATTAGCAATTGGATTGGTTTTACGGTGTAGGGTTGCTAGCCCGATGCGTGACCTTTCATCTTTATCCGGGCTTAGGACTGGCTAGTAATTAGTGAACTAGTTAACTTGGCGTGGTTGTCACACTTCATAGTAGCATACAAAGAAAAAGACAGGAAAAGACTGATATCAAATTAGGGAAAGGTGTATTGGTTAAGAAACGATTTGAAGATAAAGGTCAGTGAAAATAGTCGAGCTTTAGAAGATGTCAAAGACTGGGTACTTCGTTGAAAATATCGGCCGACCATCCACTAATTTTATGATTTTACATTCATCTAACTGGTAATAGTTGTTGTCAGAGCTTAAGAGTTCTTACCATTCATTTTCATGATAGCATTGATCAGTCCGTGTTAATACATCACCATATTTTATCAATACTCCAAGATAGCTCAGTAGATGACGCTTTATGTTTGGAGTGATGGTACCACTGAGATTGACAGTACAAATCCAAGGTAATTCAGTCGATAACTCTCAATTAGATTACAATGTGCATTCTGGATCTTACTCTTAAATAATATTAAGATGTGGTCGGAAACCATATGAAGGCGCCTTTATCAAAAGTTGAAATGCCAAAACGAACTTATCAGTTTACATTCAGAAAACCAGTAGCGAACCTTTTTAAGCTCTAATGATAAAATGGAGCATTGTCATATCGGATAAAAATGAAGAATTACATTCACTTGTCAGACATTTGTTCACCACCGAATGACTTTCTTTTCATTGGTGATTTACTATTGTTTATTTCTTCATGTGGTGCATAGTTCGTGGTTATCTTATTTCTATCTTCTGTGCATAAGTGAGACATGATTTCACTACTTAAAGGGCACAATATACGCTCAGTCATTTGACCAGTTGTTATATATCAATGCATAGAAATAATCATCATTTCAAGTTAGTGGACCTATAGGTTCTAAGTCGTAAGCAAGTATCTGTTTGACCATCCCGGTTTAATTTTCATTCGATGAGATATCAGCCCGGTACTGCTGTATAAAAAGTAGTTTATACCACAAGTCCAAAAAGATAAGGCTTGAGTAATGTCCACAGTTGTCCATTTGAATCCAGTCTGGTATATTTTCCTGCTAGATAAAGATAGTGACAAAATGCAATCTTATAAACACGCATAAGAGTAGTTTGAGTGGGTTTGCGATACGTCTCTTATGTAATCTTGACATTATCTTTTCCGCCTACTTAGCTTTTCAAGTTATTGTGTATAAAACATCTCGTAATATTGGATAATTTCATCCGAGAACACTAATTATAAAATATGTCCTAAATTCACAGTATCGCTCTTTAATGCTGTCTGAAACTGGTGGTTTCCAGCGGTGGCTTTGTTGACGTCGAATATTTTTCTGTTAACTACTATGAAGGATTTCATCGCTCTACTTGATATCTCGTATCACATAAGTAACGAGCTATTGCACTGTTGAACGAGGATCGACCTCTGAGACGTACACTGTGGCATGTGTTTGGAAACCTCGGTAGACAAACCCCTTTCTATTCTTCCTACGTACTTGCTACCGGATGTACATGTGAATTCATAAATACCGTTGGAGTTAACAAGAGTTGGCGCCTTGTCTAATTGGGATTGTATAGTTGCACATATTTTTTGGTACATTGAGACAAGTCTTGGGGTCGGATAAGTCCTAGACAATCCACTTCAAATTCGTCTGTTGATTCTTGTCGCAACGTCATCTCTCTTGAAAGCCAAAGTAAGAAGCACTAGTTTATTTTCAACAGTAATACATCCCGCTCTCCTCTTGCTTTTGCAGTACTTCCGAGCGAACTTCATTGAATAACCATTATTGTCTAGACGTTGTTTGACTAGTTGGGATTCTCCGTGGACTTTTTCTTAGTAACATGATCTCTCTTCCCTCTGGTATAACGTCCTTATTAAAACTCTCTTGTAGCTCACTGAGCAGAAGCTGTTGAAGTTTAAATACCGACCCCGCTATGTAGTTTTACAATGAATTCTCCTCTCTATTGTACCGTCTTCATTGCATCTCAAACGACAATCGAGAAAATTCAGCTGCTGCTTCACGTCATATCCCAGTATAATGTGCATCGTTGACATTTTGAAGTAGCTTTCCTGCTTGTTAAACGTTTTCACAGATAATAAAGGTATCACTAACATATGTCAAGCATGGTTTCATAGATTGGTAGGTTTTAGGGTGGTGTTTTATAAGTATGACAAGATGTCCTTAATTTCTGGTCCTAGTGGACTCTTCACAGCCACGCCGTCAATCTGCTTACATATGGTACCGTTGATTTGGAATAAACATTTTTTGTGCACAAAAGCAGATGTTTTATTTATGTTTTTGGCAATATCTTCTGTGTATTGGTAAATAATATCTATTGTCTCGAGGAGAGGTGTACTCGTGAATGAAGAGGTTAAGTCATATGAACTTGTTAGGTAAATAGAAATGTCTTATTTTTTCGGTGAAGTCAAAAGACTGATTTATTTAGACAGTCTATTCTGTTATGTATTAGAATGTGTCTAACTTTCTTGATAATAACCCTTTTTAAATTAACCAATCAGAATTGATACATGATTTATGACAGACACGAATAGAAATTGTTTTTAATACACAGAATAAGTTACGTAGATTGAAAGGCTTTACATATAAGGATTTAGCGATCGGGTCAGTGGTTACGTGCGTATTTATGTGGTGAGTAAGTCTATCGATAAGAAATAGCTTACCGTTATGAGTTGTATGGTCCCGACATTCAAGAGGAGAATTTTTTGACACTTTACTATACAGTTTAAAGATTCACTCAAATTCTAATAATTTGCACATTGTTTTAAATATTCATTTCCACCAACCATCACATGTTTTTAATTTCTTCACAATACAACACCTTTCTTTTTTACTTGCAGACACATTTCGTCAATTGGATTTCCAACGATCTGTTATATCAAGACGATATAAACAACCGTATATTAATAAAATATTGAATCAAGTACAAAATTGGGATGAGCAGTTGGTAGATTACTTTATATCAGATAAGAATACAACGATGACGACAACAACAACAACTATCACCACAACCGTTACTGAGAGTACAAGTAACCGTAGTAGTGGTACTGGTATCGGTATTTTCACCGCTGACAGTAATGATGATGATAATAATATTGTTCATAATGGGCATAAGAAACCGAAATTTCTGCTAGATCATATTGATTCAGATGATGAAATGACTAAGAATAATAAGGTCAAACGTCGGTGTATTGATAAAACTCCCGGTGCAGCAGTTTGCAGTACATTTATTGATGAATTACAGCAATTCAGTCACTTTGTAGTGGAATCTGAAAATGAACTTAAGCAAGCAAAAGATGAGACTTTAAAAGTTGAAGTGTCTTCGTTTTTGTCCTCTTTCTCTTCAGCATCATCACCGTCATCGACATCACCACACTCATCCATATGTCGCCTGCTGCCGCAACCGTCAGCTTCATTGATCACAGCAAACTCAAATGATACATTCATTGAAGATGATAGACAGAACTTCTGTCTAGATGAAGAGGATAACGGTGAGAAGGAAGATGGTGAAGTGATGGAAGACGATGATGACTATCTTGATGATGATGATGATGATGATGACGACTACTGTGATAATAATCATGATGATAATAGTGATAACTACAGTGACACTGACATAAAGGGAAACAGATGTGATTACTTACATGCAGGAAAAGAGAAGAAGAGCAAACTTTTTTATCATACATGTAAATAGATACACAGTCTACTAAATCCGTTGCATTTATACACACAGGAAGACATTTAGCCAATCAACGCGTAGATATAAAGCCGCAGATTACTTTTGTCAATGTCCCTAATTTGTTTGATGACTTTTTTATATGCATTCCCTCGAATCCATCATGATATATTATTTCAACTTCTATTCACTTTATTCTTAACATTTGCATGATTTGTAATCATAGTTTCGAATAATCTTATTTTAAAGAAATTCGTGAATTTCCGAATAAAATGCATAATGTGTAGGTATTTCGCCTTATGTTAAACTCTATCTCTGTATTATTCGAGATGGTTTACTGGATAGCTTTACCGTTGAACGAAATTCGTTGAATGACTGGGTCATATAATAATACTTTATTCTGACGTTTTTAAACTGAATGAACAGTCTCAAAAATATTTGTAAGTTTCACAATCGTTCACATTGGCGTTGTTGCAGCTTTTTCTGTTTTATTGCTTATTAAGGTTGAGTTTTCATAAGGGGAGGGTTTATGTGTAGCTCCCACTGTAATCTTTATGCCACAGTGAATCTCGCCTTTTTTTCATCAATAAGATGATAAGACGAAGTTGTTGAGCTATATTTTTCCTACTTTATTGGTTGTTTGATGAGTTTTTAATGTAGGTGAACTTCGATTATTCTGTTTGTACCGATCTGTTCTCTGTCAGATCGTATACTAAAGGTTAGGCATTTTTGCACCAGTGTTTATGTGAATTTGAATTCTTATCTTTTTCTAAAACACCGGCCAATATAAGTAGTTGAATTGATAGACACATCAAAAAGTGGCCACCGTAGGTATCTAATCTTTTAACCTTGGTTGCATATTTGAGCGTGTCGAAAACACAAGCTTCAAATTTCCCAAATGAAAAATTCGTTGGAACTTCTGAATGAGCATCTCTCACGGTTCTTCTCCGCTAAATTTTATCTTCATGTTATAAGAATTGAATTTTTAACGCTCATGAACACCCACCGTGGCTAATTAAAGGTGAGTAGAACAATGCAAGTAGCTCTATGTTAATTCGCTTAGTTCAAACAGATCATAAAGCTAATATGAATAGATCATTTTCTATCACCTGCAGCGTCTTTATTAATTCACCAAAGGTTACAGAACACTTCAAAAAACAGAAACTGTAGCCATTCGGCTTAAACAGTCTGAATTATGTGTGTCAAAGGAAACATTACAGCTATTATTACGACGACTTTGGAATCGGCGGCTTTCTGGGATACTTGATTTTAACCGCCAAGTATCATTTTATCACCTACATTACTGTTTCTCTTGAATTGTACCAATGACTGACTAATATAAATTCTCACTCTTGTTAACACTCAGTGATTTTGTGACTGAAAATATGGATATGCAACTGTAGAGCTCTATAAAGAAGTTACCGAAAAGAATATTCTTTTTTCAGCAAATTGTCGTTGATATCGCTTGATTAATCCACGGAAACAGTGGATTAAATATTTCTTGACCACCAAAGTCATGAAGGTATCTAAGTTGTATTAAAAAATTTAAGTTAGTGTTCAACATGGGATGACATCAGTTAGAGGGACATTGGAAACCAGAGAGCACTGGACAATTTTTTCGCCCTAGTATGAGACTCTTCAACAGTGCGCACCCACGACCCCGCCGGGGATTTAACCCAGAATCTTCAGTTCCCGTGGCCGGTACGTTACTATTGAGTCACTGGGTCGGAATGCGATGGTCCACATTTCCAACTTCTGTCAGGTCACTACATAGCACGACCATCACCCAATGTCATCGTTGAGTATTTGTCCTCACAACCACCAGGTTTTCCTCACTGGTCACGACTTCTCATTGGAATTTCAGGAACCACCTCTTGAAGCTAGTCACTAATGAGCACTATATCAATTGAATTTGAGGATTTAGTGATTTTCCAAGTTGGTATTCATCATGAACTAGGACGAAAGAACTGTCCAGTGCCTCCTGGTCTCCAGAGTTCCTCCAACTGGTGTCAGTCAGTCCATGATGAATACCAGCTTGAAAAATCACTAACTCCCCACAACCCCCCAAATTGAAACATTTCGACGATTTATGAAAAGAATATAAGATAACGTAAATGAGTTGAAAAGAAACATCACCTTATTGGTTGCATATCTGAAAAAGGTACTATGATGCAGACGAGTCAGAATAGAACAGAAGGTAAAATAAACTTGGTAGCCACCCGGATCTCCTATAAGCAAGCAATGGATCACACCTATTTTATGAGAACTAATAATACTACCTAGTTCTTTTTACCTCGTTAGTTGGAACTAGCTTTAAACTCGAGACTTACTGGTTAAAAGTGCAGAGCCTAGACTGGTGATTAACAATTCGAGACGAACTTACCTCTGGTAGATAAGCCTCAGCTTTCTGTCACGAAAATAAAGTTATACTATCTATCACACAACAAATTGTCTTAACAAGGAAGTACTCATTGAGATGGAAAAGTCCACATTATACTACGTTGAAGGATTTTTGTTAGCATAAAACTGTTTTATGAATTTGATATGGCAATCGTAAAAGTAAGGTAAAAGAACGTTCATCGATAACCGAAATACATTTGAAATTAGAAAATTCTTCGGAAAAATTAGCATTGATTCATACTCAGAAGAAATATTGTTGAAGACATAATCTGTTTACAAAAATCATGATTCATATTAATTGAGGCACAATTTCCAAATGTTTTAAATGGTATTTAAAGCTAAAAAAAGATATCTGGCTTGAAGAAAGAATCCCTATAACAAGTGGTACATCATTGTTAGTGGTGGTCGGATTTCACACCCTGTAGGTAACAATTACTTAGTGAAATGTATCTGTGAACATTGTCCCCACTTATTTTTTAGAGGGATTCACATAACTTGTTTTAAAAAAATGTTTGGGTCTCGTAAAAATTTTGTCACTGATAAAAAATTACGCCAAGTAAACTGATTCTTAGGTATACAGTGACTAAGGCAATAATGTCTAATCTTCAAGATTGGTGGTGGAGTTACATCGATGGACTTGTTAAGCTAGATCACCAAATTCGTGTGAACTTATTATGAAACTAGATAGTTGGTGTTAGTCAATAGGTAGTTTTAAGAGGGAACTCCGTGTTCATCAACATTAATTCATAATGTCTACTCACAACCTCAGGTAAAATATGCCTCGCTTCCTAGATAGTCGATGTTATATCATTTAATTCGGAAATTCTTTTTCACAAATTAATGAATGACATTTCGGCACTGAATAATACAAACATATGGGATTATTTGCTAGCAAATGACAGCTCGTTATAAATCATGACCTACTATAGAGATTAAGTGGGTGCGAAAATGACAGTCGTATCACTTATGATTAAATAACCAAGAGCCCAGGGTCAACTATCATCAGCACCCTAAATACAGAGATGTCTTACTTACTTATTATGATAGGTGTACAGTCAAGCTCCATAACATCATATCGACAACTTCCAAAATATAAGCACAAAATAAATTTCGGGAATATTTATAACACAGTTGGATTCGTTCATAAACTATTTCTAAAACTTATCAGTCATCTCTTCAGCCGTAAAATTTGTTCTGGAACCCAGTATCACCTCTCAAACAGGGACATGAAGTTTATGCAAAAGGATTTAATGTGTGGTGGTTGAAATGTGTAAAGTCGAATATAGAAGTTCAGTATCACTATACTGCTCTTGCTTTCTAGTTAAACAGATGCGTTCAAATATGTGAATTCCTATAGCTTACAGTCCTAACTTTCACAGATATTTCTATCTCTACTCCACTTTTTTGACAAATATTTCAACCAGTGATTGTAATTCATTTCCTTACCCTTGTTGTTTTCCACTACAGTTATACTGCAGAAGTTTGTCTGCTCAGTTTAACCTCACGAAATTGAACAAAATCGTATGTTAATTGCAGGAGCATCTCAGCGACCATCTTACAATAGGCTATTAGCAATGCCGATTGGATCAGGGTTGTAATAATATCTGGGTGTTCGAACAACAGCAAGTGGAGTGGAATCCTAAAATATGACTGGCTAGTTGAAGTTTAAATTATTAAACCAGTGAGCCATATTCATTGTCAAAATTACTGGAATGAGTACAGCCTATAAGGGTTAATTCGCTTTTTGATTAACCTTCCGCTTACCGATAATGTCAGGTACCTGTAGTTTCTCTTTATTTTATAAGAGTCTTCAGTGAAAAAGATAGTAAGCTATTAGCTTGTGTTAATCTTTGCAATAATTACTCATATGAAGATCCAGTTTTTCTTTGAATACGATTGCCGAAGGAGCTGCTACCGCTCATTCCGGCAACGAGTTTCAGTCACTGACCACTTTATGGGAGAAACGTTATCAAAGTAAGTCAGTCATCAATATGGGGTCTGGGATTATTGATTTACGCTCGAAAGTGACTTACCTTATAACAGCACATCATTAAATTAGAACTTCATTATGGGCTTTTATAAGTTTAAAATCTTCGTTTTCGTCAAGGTTTAACTGAATTATGATCTGTCGAAGCACGAATCGATTTAAGTTTATTGATTATTATGTGCCGTATTCAGAATGACATAACTCATCCTCAATCAATGCAGTTTGAACATCCACTCACGGCTCCTCTAATAATAAACTTACCAGTAAAAATTGTTTCCTTTTACTCTGCTACCTCCAAGTTGAGATCTTAGTTTGTGTTATTTGCCTCTGTATGTTTTCTTGTTTTGTCTTATGGCAGAGATAATTGAGTCATTAAAGTATCCAGTTGATAAGTCCTACTGAAGTTTTGATTTCCTTAAATCCTGCTTTTTTAAATATTCGTTGGTTGTTTTAAAAATGGAAGAGTAAATGTTACCTTTTAAACTGGCCTGCATCGATTTGTTGATAGCTCAGTTTCAGTCAAAAAAAAAAACAGGATAATTATGGTCATAATCACTTTATTATAGACATATTCGTTCTGTTTTAATCTGCCTGGACAAACAATTATTTATTCAGATTTTTGAAATGAATG